TAACGTTATATTGTGTCACTTTTAAGGCCAACATCATAATGCCTCAAACCCTATTAACTAACTAGTAAAGCCCAATGACCACGCCAGCGTATCGGAAAGGACCTAAAGCACTCTGCTTTTGAGATCCGACAACCTCAATACACCACTCGAGGAAGGTTTGGAACCCTTGTTCTGGGTCTTCTTCATAACGCACTCAGTTCCGACTAATAAATGCTTTCAATTATGAGAAGAACTCCTCGATAGGATACAAGTCAGGTGAGTAAGGTAGCAGACACACTAGTTTTACTCCTTCAGTGCAAGTTTCCTCGATACCATCAGAACGATGGGAAGATGCGTTGTCCATAACTAGAACAGACTTTGGCTCAGGGCATCTTCCACAATGCCGAAGAAGCCGATCGATGAAGTCCTAGAAGACTGCAGCATCCGTGGAGCCCTGAAACATACGAGAGAGCATACTTCCATCTTGGCAATATGCGGGCAGTATCTGGTACCGCTGGTCACGATGGAAGTTGGCTACCTGCAATGGTATCGTGCCTAACGGAGACCAGTCTGTCCGTCTGGACCCAAATTTTTTATCACATCCAGACTCATCCACATAGACCAAGTTTGCTTCTCATAACTTCTCCAACATACCCTTCAGGGTCATCAGCCAGTAGGCACTCGGAGTCAGGGCTACGTCCTCTTCAGTGTCCCGTGAGAGCACTTTCTTATTCACCGTGACTTTCCACTCTATCGTATATTGGATGCAGCTTGCCGTAAGCTCGTTACTTGACATTCCGTCATGCCATTCGGATAGCTGAAGCAGTCGAGGAGATTGCAGTTGCTGTTGTGATAGGACTTCCAGATCGTTTTCGGAGTGATAGTCGGGGAAGGGCTGAGCCCACAGCTTGAGGCAGGCGTGCGACCGTAGTAACCTGGAGTGGGGGCGTATTGCGAATCTTGATCTCCGGGTTCGAGGTCATACGATTCAAAATCACGGTCATCGGGATACGGATTAGCAGTCATCGTCCTCGTTTCAAGGCTCTAACGGATCCAACGTCAGCATGATCACGACTAGTCAGTTCAGCAGATGCTAGCCCCCTATAGAAGGCCAAGCCTGTTACATAAAGCAAAGGAATATTACCCACTAGTTCTGTCTCTATACAACTCGCTCATTCGTAGTGGTCACTCTAAATGGCAAGTAGTTGACAGAATGGGAGTTCGAATTCCTGCCACGTCTCCAAACGAGCAGACATCCGTCTGTTTGGCTTGTTTGCTAGATCAACGTTCTAGAAAGCCGGAGACCTTACGAGTCTAATACAGAAGCTATTTTCGAGCTGTTATTTACGCCAGCACTGGAATACTGCCAAGAAATGGATTCAGGGGCAGAGTAACCGTAATAGGTATAGCGCATTTCGGAACTTGATTCGAGAAAGAATCTCCGTGTGCAAGTGGTGAAACTAATTTCGACCCATCCTGTACTAATGTAAGTTATCTCGGGTAAATACCCAGAAACCAACATCCAAATTTACAAATATATGGGCTTTCCTTAGGCAAGGCTTGTTCTTGACTTGTCATTTATGCGTATGGGCATTCAAACAGCCAACAGCCAAAGCTGATCCCATTGCCGGTTGCAGTCTGCCTCTTAGGCCAACTGTATGTAAGACATATTGATCACAGAGGGTTAATCAAAGCACATTCAAAGAGCCATCGATACCTTTTAATTTGCAGTCTCATGGATCTCAACAGGGTTGATCTCCAGTGAGTGTCGCTCGGTCTTTAAGTGCTACTTGATGCGCGTGTTTGGTGTCGAATTCCAAACCTCGCCATTGGGAGGGATATGCGCACACATCGTTCTCGAAGGAGGAGGACTAGGGATTCAACTAGGCCCAACTGGCTTTGGCCCACCCAGCTGGAGTTGGCTGTCCGCGACCCGGCTAGAAACGGATTGGGTGGTGCAGCTGCGGGGCTTTGAAATGTGAATATGTCTAACCAGCACACCTCCAACAACCGATCTTGAAAATCTCCAGTTAATGCCATCACCAAGCGGCCCCTTATCCTTTATCCTTTTGGAGATAAACGTGGCTAGATTTAGACTGATAGTCATAATTAGACCGGTCCCCGAAATGTGGATGGCCCCCAATGATGTACCTTGCACCTAGCTATAAGGCCGCGATATCTCTCCAAGCCAAGAATGTGATTAACGATGACAGGTTTGCTGCTGCTGCAAGCCTCAAAGGGCCAGTGGCGAGTCATTAGAAGAAGTTCCCACCGGAGATTTGTCGCCCCCTGTCCACGGTGCGATTTCAAATCTCGATGTCACCGTCAGCGCAGGGGGCGCTCCCTAACACGCTCGCCGAAGGCTAGGAAAGGGAACAGGAATATGAAAAGCAGGGATATGTCTGCTGCTTCTCTTCTGACCGTTCTATTGCAGCAGATTGCTTCACACGGACTTCGTAAAATCCCTGGAATTATACAGCGAGAAGCTCAAAAGGCACTGGCGACCAGTACGTTCAATCCATCAGTTTCCATAACTTGCTTTACTCGAAATGCTAAGAATTCTCCAAGATCTACCCCTAGTCGACTATCTCACCCGGTATCTCTCAGGTGAAAAGAAGGCAACGATAGCCTTATCAGGCACATGACACAATGGCCAAGTAAGTGGAATATGCTAGGACCGCACGGTTTCTATTGGCAGGACTTTAGCCGGTAACTAGTTAGTTAAAAGCAGCAATTGCATAAGCCAAATCCTCTTTGCTTGATATGATAGAAACCCCTTTCCGGTGAGCCAAGACTGGTTGGCAAATTGACACCTTGACGCCTCGACACCTCAATTGTAAGTAGACTCTACAAACAAGTTACTACATACATCGGCTATATAGAATGAAGTCTGGGCTCACTGAACTGCATGCCACTAGTTGTGTAAAATCAAGGATCGGCCTTGGAAACTCCGGAATTTACGTCATTGCCTCAAAAAGCTATTGGACGGTGGCCTCCAGCCTTCGGTCCACCGGCAGAACGGTTCTTAGATTCAAGAGAATGGCAACTCATTGAGATCTATTTAGTAATGAGTATCGCTCTAGCTTTCGGATGCTCCATCCGGGCTAGCAAGGCGCAACCTTGGCGGCGACAAAAATCTAACCAATCGGACTGGAGACCAGGGTTTTCGAAGGTATAGTTCCGATGGCACGGTCTCTCCCCCCCCTTTTGCCGTTTGCCATAGTATAGGGGCTATGTATAGTCCGTGATAACAAGCTATTTACCTTTACCGATATAACAGGCTGATTTGCGCTCCTTAAACTAGCATCACGGGGCATCGGGGGCATGAATCAGTAAAATGTAGATTAAGCCCCCGCCACGGAGATAATTAAGCGACTTGGCCCCCGAAATTCTCCGAAGTCACCATGATCTTGAAGTTCCTTAAGACACGATCAATTCGGCCTACATACAACCCAAGCCGTACCTTGTACCTGATACCCAGTGACGCAAATCGTCAACATACCTCAATCAGGGGACCAAGAAAGTGGACAGATCTTGGTAATTATAAAGTACCAAAGTGTGGAGCTATCGACCATATTGCGAGATGTGGAGAGATGGCCGATCGGCCTGTCCGGTAGCTCGTCTAAACTGCTTATTCTACATGCAGGTACTAAGGCTGACTCTGGCCAAAGCCGAGGCTCTTGCTTGGAGTTAAACGCGACCATCTGCTGCGTTCGGCCATCCCTCTCGATCACTGTCTCGATTGAAGACGTGAATCGAGCCACATGCATAGTCGCATTCTCGCTCTACACGGCAGCGTTGTGTTTTCTTGGTCTAAGTAAACAGTAGCGTGAAATGTTGTTCTTTGCAATCATGGGATAGCCGTTGAGTCTTTGACCGCCGCGGCTCAGTGGCGGACCGAGCGTACCCTGCCGTTAGTCTCTGAAAGTGACATACACAACATCCCACGTTTTGAAGCTTATCTTTTTCTCGCACCATCATTTTAGGATCGGCGGCCTAAGTAGGCCTAACTACGAAGGCTGATCTAAGTTTCTCAAAGCAAACGGCTTTGTGCCCATGTCTCAGAACCCTTGCTCTCGAATATCCGATTACATCCGTTATCCAATTAGAATTTCAGGGGCCTAGCTCCCACGACGTAGCCCCACCTCTACTGCAAGTTGACTGCGCAATTGACTGCGGAGTGAATTCCTAATTATTAGATGCACTAGCAAAGGTATGTCATTCGGCGGCTGTGTCAGGGGTAGATCCGGTACCTTTTCTTTTGACTTTCATCTTCTTTTTCAAGGTCAATTTTTATTTATTCCATTTTTTTTATCTGTTTTCATCTGCTCTCCAACTTGGTTTACAAGAAACTGAGCCCATATTGTCACGACTACTCAGGGCACGGACGAGGAGGCAAGCGCCGGTTCAACACCTTGGGAAATCAGAAATCGATCGCTGTCCACACAAAATTCATCTCGTGAACTGTGGACCCAGCGCGGTCGCCACCAGGCGTGATCGTTTGGAGACGTTGAGCCTGGGCCATTAGAGGTATTCTTTCAGCCACCGAGCCCCGCAGCAGCGAATTAATGAGCTCCCTGGTTATTTGCCACCGGTTGACTAGCTAGCTACCCCAAAGTGGTCCCTATCTGTATCGCTTTATTCGCTTTTAGGGGGGAATATGAGGTAGGATAGCAAGATGTAAATCAATTCTCATCAAAACGATGAAGTTAGCGCGGTAGGGAAATCGAAGCTTCCATACCACGTTTTCTTTTTCGATCACGTTATTGTGCGCCGGAAGATATGGCCTAGGACGCCCGGTATCTGATATCCATGGCTAATTAGCCTCAACCAAGCACCCCTGTCGTGGAGCTAATGTATGAACGTTCGCCAAATCCCTCTAGTACCCCAATCACACCCTGGAGAGCCATTCAGAGCACGCCGTTTCAGTTGGGACGGGATCTCAGAGTTGATGAAGTGCTATAAAGCATTGGTATGGACCATGTCTCTACAATCACCTCTTTCTTACACTACACACCACGATGGCTGGACAACGAACAAGGGCAGGGAGAGAAAATCCGCAGCCACAGCGCGAGAATGACGATATGCCACTGCCGCAAGCCCAAGAGCAAGGTCTGTCTCCACCACCATACAACACGCGAGATTCCACCCAGAGTGCACCGCAGGATATTCCTATGTCTGGCACTGGCACCGGCTTTGTTCCCATCGATCCCATATTCCATGAGGCCCCTCCCCCCACCTACGGCACTGTGCTTGAAGAGATCAAACAAATTTTCGCCTTCAACTGTGCCTCTTATCTATACGTTAGTATAAATCATCTCCGAGCGTGCGCTTCTAGATGCTAATGTGTCATAAGCCTCATCTGAAAAAAGGCCTGACAACAGATCCACAGATGAGATCCACAGTATTCTTCGCCCTGGGATCACTTTTTGAAGCTGATATCAATGACCAGAGCGATGGAAGTAACAATGAAAATGTTCTCAATGACAATGAGAATAATAGATCCCAGTCTTGAAGAATGATGGAAAAGGCCAGCCAGGATCAAAAAAGAGATCGACAAAGGACGGGGGATTGTTGTATACGTTTGTCGTATCAGCTTAGAAATTGCGTGGGTGGCATTTTGTTTTATAATAAGTGATGTTCTTGGCGCTATTTGCAATTTCAATGAATGCACACTTATTCAAATTATTATGATAGCCTTCGCTCCCGCTTAGAATCAATATTGATTTGACATTTCCACCTGAGAAATCAGAGCATTGAATCTCATACGCTCTGTTTTATCATGCTCGTGTGGTATCATAGGGATAGATATGGCGCAAAAATAAAAAGGAAAAAAAAAGGACGAAAGAGGCGAGCAAATTCTCTTGGCGCGAAGGGATATAAACTTACCCCCCCCTTTTTAGGCAGCCGATCACTGTATTCTTGAACAAACACCGACTTCCTCGCGCTATGTATTGTGCCTACAGCTAGTTTTCATTGCTAGATTCTATTAATGAGGATGCCTAAAGCACAAAATTGTGATGCTTACTAGCGAGATCCCTGGACCAATTCTTATCAGGTTGTCAGGGTCGTTGTTCAGTCAAAAATGCCTCCGCAACTTCGCTCCAACATATACATATGAGGTGGGTCTGATCTTGCCGATCACCACAGAGCCTGATCATTGGTCGAAATAATTCGACCGTGGAGGCCCGGGGGCCATCGAGGTATACCCAAACGCACGTGATCTGGCGCCATCACCTACCTCCTAGCACCTAGTTAGTCCTCAATCGTCCTCAAGAGGCGGAGGCTGCATGTTCCGTAACACTCGGGCTATCATGGAATTACATTTTCGTTTCACTTCCCACGTGGTACTGTGTACGAAGGTCAGGCTAAATGCTATTTATTAGCAAACCTCCCCCCAATGTAATTACACATTTTGCCAATTTGAAGTTCTTTCATAAGGCTCCGAGAAAAACTGTTCCCAGGGATTATATTCTATAATTTGTCGTTCTGTCCTAGTATTTTCACTTCCTCTACTATGAAAGACATCTTTCAGACATGGAGTGCAGACCTCCTGAACATTGCCAGCGGTGCAGTCTATTCTCACGGTAGGCAAATCGAAGCCTCATGCTCCGACAATATTATCATACTCTCCGATGCCAAGATGTACAATGAGCTCCGAACTCTCAAGGGTCATTCTGACGATGTCGGAACAATAATATTTTCCCCAAATAGTCAGATGGTAGCGTCGGCTTCCAACGACACTACAATCAGACTCTGGGACGTTAAGAAGGGCGAAATCAGAGCACTTCAGGCTGAGTCTGATATTTTATCCTGCGTGGCATTCTCTCCAGATAATCAGATACTGGCGTCCTCGGACTCTGAGAGAAACATCAGGCTCTGGGACGTGAAGACTGGTAAAGAGCTCCGAACCCTCACTGAAAAGCCCCAAATTTCTAGGACAAGGCACCGATATCTCGAACAATGGCACCCTATCACATGGGAGTGGGTGCAGTCTAGTAGACTGGAATTAGGACTTTCGGTTTACTATGGGAGAAAAAATGGGGCCATGAGTAGACTGGAATACTTTTCGTGAGTAGACTGGAATAACATTTCGTACGAGGATCAACCTGACAATTTGAATACATACGACACTTGATCCTCAGCTCCTCTGTGAAACCTATATTTGTCGGCCCTTTGCTAGCGAACTGTTAGCCCATGTCGCCTGATATGCCGATCACGTAATAGGGATTGTCATCGTAATTCACTAAGTAGGCCATCGCAATACATTAACTTACTGCATGTGACATACTGATGAGCATACGTGGTGATAACACAAAGGTAGAGAAGGGAAGACTAGCCAAAGTAAGCCATGCCGTCTCCTGGCCCTAGATCTGCCAGGTATAAGCGGAGCCTACCACGACCTAGCTCACATCGGTACCTAGTAACAGCCGTTTGACGCGGGCGGGAGGAAATCATAAAAAGATAGAACCAGAGCAAAGAGGAAGGAGCCTCTTACGAAGCCAAGCCTTTGTCAAGCTAAGTGTTTGAGGTTCTTGAACAAAATAAAAATATATTGTTCCATTTCCCACTAATCCCGTATGTAGAATTTCCCTATTCCGAATTTGGTAGCGACCCCTTAGTTCCATATTTGGTAAATTCTTGGCGGAACTACACTATAAAAGTAAAGTGAACCTTCGTCTACTTGAAAATCAAGGACCATAGCATGTACTGCTTCTAACTTACGAAGCTTAAAAATATGTCTTCGCCTAAGGTTTTGATCACATCTAACAACCTTTTGGACGGGGAAACTGAGTTGAAAACCTGTCTTCAAGAATATCAGAACATTCAGAACAGAATCGTTCAATTAATCGCACACGATGCGGCTGGGCCTTCTCCTATTCTTTGGGCGTGGAGACAGAGCGAACTCAATCTCGCAGACTATCTCATCGATCACCAGACTTGTTACTTAGATCGCTGTGATGAGCGTGGGCTAAGCCCTCTATTGTATGCAGCCAATAAAGGTGATCTAAAGCTTGTGAAAAGGCTTCATGCCTCGGGTGCTGATCTTGAACCAATGACAAAAGCAATATCTGGTACCTTGTCGCTTCCGCACTCATTAACCGATGAGCAAATCGGTGTTCTCGTCAAGTACTACCATTTCTTAACTGTTTGCAATAAGCAGGGATTATCCCCTCTCTTACCTGCCTTTCAAACTGAAGACCATCCAATTGTGCAAGAATTGCTGAAGTTTAAAGTTAATCTATAATTGACTACTAAGGCATGCAGTACGCACGCGATAGATGACGGTAATTGAGGTTTTGTTGTCACATAAAAGCCCTCCAATTACAGCCCTCGATCTCAAGAACGCATTGGACGAAGCCAAAGGACATCAGAATCTCACACTGAGTCTGAAAGGCTATCTTAGTAGAGCACAGATAAATTCATAGTTCCCAATCCAATAAATTGCTTGAATTATTACTCTGATTAGTTTCTATTTGTATGCATTCTATTAGATGTAATTCAAGAGGATGACCGCTAGGAGATTGTTACAAACTGTTTACTGTGAGAAGGGATATTAGTTTGCGTAGGTAGTTTATTACATACACCTATTTCCGTTTCCTATCGTTTCTAGATGCGAAACAGATACGCTATATGAGTAGAAGTCGCTGAGCATTTTTTTATTTTCCCTATTTGTCTAGGGCAGCACGACTTCGCATTTATAAATACTTTATTGATCCGTCACGGCACTCGTATTAAGCCACCACCCTTCGTGTTGCCACCTTGGTAGGAACTGCGACGTCTCTTTTCTTTCGATAAAATAACCACAAAGCGATAATGTGGACAAATAACAGTAGAAAGACGAGAGCTTCAAAGACCGCCTGCCAGCTACCTGCATAGTACAGTACATGTTTCTGTAATACGGCAGGTTGTCACTGCCTTGAAGCCTTCCAGCTAGGTATGGGAGCCGTGATCTGATTAATGCAGCCACGCCTAGCACAATTTCAATAACTTCTAAGTACACCAAAGCCTCGTCATGCTCCCCTATCGATTCCAGTGGGCTGCAAACATGGTTCAGCGACGGCTAACGCGCTGCATGCGAGCGCCATTGAGGACGCGGACGATACCCGTACTTTGTATTCTCAACCGCCCAGTTTGAATGACGCTATTTCAAAAGATAGAATACGTAAAATGTGAAATAACGAATGGTCAGAATTGGTTAATTGAATTTTCAACGGGTTCAACAGGGTTACCTAGGCTACCTTTATCCCCTCCACTCTCTGCGTTATGAGAATGTGGTTTGGCAGCAAATCTTAAAGTGCTTTCGGCATCATTGACGATCGGTTATTGTGACTCAAATTAGACTGCTCTAAACCCTAGTCATGTCCTGGAACACTCCCACCTGCTAAGCCACAGTCAACATAGCAGGACCATCAAACCCCAAAAATAACATTATTGTCCATAGATGCCTTTTAGCCTTTTACAAAAGAACCAATATTAGGATGCGGATATCTCGTAAACAATTCCACCGAAATTTCCTGCTTCACTTCCATATACATTGCCAGGCATTCATCATAAAACATTAACTATACCCCTTGCCATGTCTGCGGCAGAAATTTGCACCTGGGTGCTTCGTCAGCAATGGAGAAGTCTAGACCGAGGTCTGGATACCATCACGTCCACTCTTCACTGTTCGATCTTGCCAGAACAATACGGGTATGGTTTGAATGATGACCATTCCTGGATAACCTGCCGCACGAATTTTCGAACTGTTCGAAGTTATCGAGTTTCGGCGAATCGAATCGAATTCAAACTTTGGGTTGGGGGCTTCGAATCTATGGCCGATTCGATTCGACAAAATTCGCGAATTTCGAACAGGTTCGCGAACCAAATATCTAGCCTTTTTAGGAAAAGGGGTTTGTGAAACGAGTTTTCGAGATGCCCGGTCCCTACAAGAATACTTCTGCAAATTTGGTCTAGAATATCAAACGCGTGTATGCCAAAAGAGACCATTACTATATAACTATCCAGACTTCCAACGTGCAGCACCTTTCAGCCTTAATAAGGTCCCAAGGGTCTTGCCTTTCATGGAGAAACGTCGAATCCCCAGAACATCTCTCCCGCCATATCTCTCGACATCTACCTCTGCTGCCGCTATAGCAAGCTGATCTTGTGCTACCTTCGCCATACAACTAAATTCACGCATGTTGGCCTTCCACCAGTTTCGTATAACCTCGGTCTGACTCTGGCTTATATCGAAACCAGTGCTGATTGTCGGAATATCAAATACTTGTCGATATCAGACTCAGCGACGTTATACTGTGTAGGCTGAAAGGCTTCCAGAAGTCGATATTCGAAGCTCTTCCAATTGGTGCTTGGAGTAGTCGATACAGGCTGTTTTGGGGTAGAATATGCTTTCTTCAGGAACGCCCGGATTCGGTCAATAACCTCCTCTCCATCTGGTAGCGTTTTGAGCCACTTGGTCTTAATTCGAGGGTCCAGAACCCTTGCGATATAATATAACGTTGTTTTTGACGCAATCATGGTACTTATCCAGCAGTGAGATTCCATCGGAAACCGGAACAGATATTGTTGGTGAGACATTCTGTCACTCCCCTCGTCGTTCCTTGATACCGAGGAGTATAGAACGGAGCTCTCCAAACATACGCGCTGCCATATGAATTGAAGGGCTATCCCGAGAGACGTACTCGGTATATTCGTCGAAGGGAGCCAGGATCTTCTTGATATCCGAGAGCTGTCTCCAGTCATTGGGTGTCAGACGTAAGGCTTCGATATCTGGATCATCGTTGACTGTATCTTCGAGCTGACGGCGACACTCTTCAGGTCTAACAGTCATAACAAAGGTAGAGTTCCATCGAGTATCAACATCGTAGTTGATAGCTTTTGTACAGCCAGGTCGATTATCCCACTTCTGTATTCGCTGAGGAGATCGCGCAATCCAAAGGACAAGTAGTCGAAGCTTTGCAATAGGCGAAGTAGGAGCGTTGACCGTCTTCCAGCTCCTCTTAGCAACATCATCAAGGAGATCGCGGGCTTCCTTATGCGAACTAGCGCGTAGAGACCTCAATATAGTCTTCATGACCAAGTTCAAGATGCGAGCAAAGCAGCGGATTTAGGAGTTATGGGCAATTTTCATCGTCCCTTCTCGGATAATGGTCTCGGCCAGGTACTCATCGTACCGCTGAGACAGCTTTTGGTAGAGAGATCGGTGTAGGGTATCATTGTTAGATGCGTTGTCAGCTGTAATTGTCATAACTTTATCAGATATATGAAACCTCTCCAGAACCGTCGCAACGATATTAGCAAGGTTCTCTCCAGAGTGGCTGCCTTCGATTTCAACGAACTCAATACAAGCTCGATATTGCTGGAAAGCAGAGGAAATCCAGTGAGCATTAATTGCTAGCATTGGCAATGAATTCTGACTTGTCCAACCATCCAGAGATAGCGCGATTGAGGATGCTGAAGACATCAAGATTCGAAGTTCACTGTCAAGGGCATCAAGCCGAAGATATAATCGGCGCGACACAGTATCCGCACTCGGTACAGAGTCCTGAAAGGCTGCAGACCTCAACATAGCCATGAATGAAGGCTGTTCGACGCATGTAAACGGTTGGCAGGTTGATACAATCCAATTAAACAGCCTGCGCATCTCAGGGATGACTCCCAGAAGTTTCTCAGGCGGCGCGTTAAGTTGCCCTGTTATGAAAATTGCCATCTTTCAACTTGCCCAGATCATATTGTATAACTCCGCCAAATCCATCTTTTGGCTGACTCACGACAACATCCCCCAAACGGACATCATTTCGGGTTGTTGGTGCGCCGCCTCCGATGCCTACCATTAATGCAAACCGCAGACGTGGAAAGGTTCGGACCATATCTCGAGCAACATGAGCAGCTGAATTGCTGCCATACCGACCAGGTGGAAGACAACCGATCACCACATAATGCTTCGCAATGCGCCCGTAGACGTATGTGTTATCATCCTTGTCTTCGCTTATCTCCGGCCCGTCGAATTCTTCGTCAAGCATACGGCATGCACAAAAGTACTCTTCTACTTGGGCACAAATCCACGCTACCGTGTAGGAGCCTGTTGACTCTGGGTCTCGTTGCTCCGGTCGACTCATTGAATCATTAGAAGAACCACTGTTCCCACGTTGCCGATTGTGTTTTGTTAATTTTTTGAAGATTGGTTGGGTTTATCAAGTTCGATTTGTCGCCGGTAGACTTTCGTGGGAAAAGGATATGCTTCGACTTGGGAGGGAAGAGGGGCAGGAACCAAACTCAAAGGACGAAGGCTTCCAAAGTGGGGTACAGGACGGATCGTAATCAGTTTCAATATTTTGTTCTCTTTGAATGTTTCTCGAGTGTATATTTTTAGTTACGCTAGGCCTAATGTGATTAGTCAATAAAAGACTGTTGAAGCTACTTCACTCTCCGCTACATTTCTAGATTACTCTACGTAAGAAACAATACAGGGCCCACTGACAGGATACTCCGGAATTATAGTCTATCTTGGCAATTAGGGTTTGAGAAACAATCGACGAATGAAATGGTGACACCAGTTTCGCGAAGTACTATTACTATATCCAAATACTCATACTCTTCACCCAACCATGAAGCTACAATGATTGCCTCGAACGACTCGCTCGAGTCAACGTCGCACTTGATCACCCGTTCAAAAAGCGTGTCCAGTATAGGTTTTCTAAGTTCCGTGGTACACTGGCATGCGGACCAGATAGCACTGTTACACTTGGGCTCATAACCCACACAGTCGTTCGCATTATTTTCTTATATCAACTTGACCACTTCCAAGTTCCCTCTTTTTGCAGCGGCGGCGAGCGGGCCCCAGAACAAGGCACTCACTGCGCATTCGAAGTTTACGCGAACAGAGTTGTCTAAAAGCATTCTCACGATTTTCGATGTGGTTGTGCCAGGAGGCCGCAGTAAGGACGGTTCCATAGGGGTCACTTTGTTGATTGATATCTGCACCCTTTTCCAGTAGAAGTGAGACAATTTGAGAGTGGCCCTTTGCCGCCGCAGCTTGGAGTGGCGCTCCAACGTGATCATCGGCCTCATTGATGTTGGCTCCGTTTTTGAGAAGGAGAGTAACTATTTCTGGAAACCCAAGCCATGAAGCAATGACTAGATACATAGTTACATTCATTCACTGGATGTATGTCGACCCCGCGATGTAGCAGTAGCTTTACCAAGGCTTTGTCCCCGAATAATATGATACGCGCTGGCCTTTCCAAAATGGTAAAAACGAAACTCATTGAGTTGCTATTCATAAACAACCAGACCGTTCCAAAGGTCCCAAAATAGATTGATTCCAATTTTAACAATCCTCTCAGTAGTAGCTTGCCCTATAATCAAGTATTTATCCTTCTATGTCCAGTTCTGGGGTCAAACATTATCAAAAATGGGGAAAGTAGCTCGCAAGATTATCAAAATTGCCAATCCCAGAGACAGAAGAATTACATTCAAAAAAAGACACGATGGCGCGAGGAAAAAAATCCACGAGTTAGGAGTACTATGTGACCAAGATACATTTCTTTTTGTCCGAGATCGCGTGACTCAAAGGGTCCGAATGTTTTCTTCATCAAACGAACAGTTTATACCTAACTACGGAACAATTAAGCTAGAGGACCGGAAAGGCCCTAGTGACATGCAACATTATTATGATAAGACGAAAAGGCGGCCTGTTTCTAAAGTTTCTACGCCACTACCATCAAATGATGGGTCCAATCAAAAGCGCGAAGTATACAAGGCTCTCCTTCAGCAAGGCCTCGCCTGCCACGACATGCTACAGACCGTTTCGTTACTTCGGTTCAAATAGTGTACCGAAAAATCCCTCATTCTAGTCTGATTCTCATGTCTTTAAAATAATAGGACGAAAAGGCAAACATCGTCATCTCCGATTCAATAACTTGAACCTTTCTAAAGGAGATTCAGTTTGAAAACGGGGCTTGCCTGGTGATGAGAAACAGGCTTGGGACAATTTCCGAACGTCTGAAAATCGGAGTAGTTTTGTGTTGACCCTCAAAGCCTTCAAGGCGTCCTTCGTTACCGCAATTCGTGTATCATTACCTTTTCAGAACCTACTGATGCTATATATGGCTGCGCCCTCCATCAACACCTTGGCAAAGCCATACTATCAAGACAGAGTCTATGAATTCTATTCTCGATCTACGGCTTCTAGCATCGAACATACCGCTGGATGTGCTGAAATCTTTATTACGACAAATTGACGCGCTCGAGGCTTTGCACTATGACTTCTCAGCCATTGAATGAAGTGACCTTACAGTTATTAAATCAGCTGTGGATAAAAATAAGCGCATTTTGAAAGCTATCCAGGTCATAGCTCAATTTGGCCAGTGAAAAGAACTTGGCTGTACATTATACAATCAGCAGCCATAGTGTTTCCGTGGCTATCATGCTCTCACGTATCTTGAGGTGGCAGAACTTGCGCGTGTTGGGGGAAATTTAACAGGTATTGACGTGCAAATTTGGTTATTATTTCCTCCTCAACTGGAAGTGCTAGTAGCTACTGCTCATCTGTATGTATAAACCGAGAGCACTGATGCCCCTTATCAATATGTTGTCCGATCGCAAGTCGCTCTCGGGTTAAAGGAACGTTGCAATTCGAGGCCAGAGTTACATGGATTTCCACTTCAATAAGCTACTTTCCGATCTTGCAAGACCCTGTCATTCAAGGGAGTGATTTTCTAGTACATCACTACTCAGATGAGTCGTAAAAGATCTAGTACGTGTCTGAGCTGAACTGTGAACTGTGGACAGTTGGTCATATAATGTGATAAGTTGGGAAGGGCCTTGCCTTTTGTTTGAGACCCACAGTAGTCTCTCTCCTCCAATCAACTCGTCTCTAGTCTTTATTTTCTTTCCTTTGAGTCTCTCTGTAGTCTCAACACGTATCAACCTGATGGTATTATTCTGTCACCCTGATTTGTACTGCTCATGCATTAGGGTTAGACCTGTATCTAGTTACTGAATTGTGGCCTACACCAACTCCACAACAACACATGGTATAAGATCTAGTGCAATTTGACTTGGCAATAGGGTCTGAGAGTGTAGGTGGGTTCACATTGGATCGGTTTCGGGACATACTATATGAATATAGACCAACACCATAATTTCAAGATACTGATATTATGATAATATCATCCATGGAGCGGGGACATTTTGGCTGGACTTACTGGGTCGGTAAAGGTCTGACTTACTAATACGGTCCATCCATTTCTCCTGCATTACCCGATCGAGGTTCCATCAAAGGCCGGTTCCTGCTGAATGTGGATCCCCTCGTGTGTGTAGCTAAGAATGATCTGGCTGTCATATATTGAACGTTATAATGTAAATGAAATAATCGTAAGGTGGATATACTGCGCCGTACCATAACACGCAAGATAAAGGGCAACTCCGACGCATCTTTGATATACGTCATATGGAGACCCGGGTGGTAGGTATGGAATTTTTTCTAACCTGCTGTCTGTCCTCCAAATACTGCACATCATACGTAAGGGTGGACTTTCATTTTGAACCCAATAGGCCAGAGTTAAACAAACAATTGCCAAAATTTGTCGCACAACGTTGTGGTTCACAAATGATATGTGTTGTTACGAACAGTTCTATCTTTGGATTGCCGAGCTGTATAACTTACATCCCATGGGCGTTAGGGAGTTAGAGACAACCCGCTTGTAGAAAGCTCATCAGGGCTACGCCTCGAGCCATTACTCTTCTAGAATGCTCCCTGTCACCACCCTTCTGCTTATAAGCTTGAGTATCCTCAGCGTAAGTCGAGTTAGAGGGGAAGCCACTAGCAAACGAGGTGCTGCCTATAACGATAGAGCAGCTGTGTCGCCGTTGACAAAAGCTGGAACCGTGTCTTGGGCCTACAATTGGGCAATGTCAGAGCCGAACGAGCTTCCCTCTGGAGTTGATTTCGTCCCTATGCTTCGCGTCGCCAACTTTGATGGGTGGCAGGCATCTATAGAGCACTACACCTCCGGCGGCAGCAAATACATACTTGGATTCAATGAACCCGACATGATATCCCAAGCAAGCCTGGCGCCTTCCGTTGCTGCCGGTTACTACATAAAGTACATCACACCCTTTCAAGGCAGAGCCAAGCTCATCAGCCCTGCAGTAACTTCTTCTACTTCCACCGACATGGGACTCGGATGGTTAGATGAGTTTATGGAAGCCTGCCTCTACTGTAACATTTCTGGCATAGCCGTTCACTGGTACGGTGACTCAGCCGACAGCTTAAAATTGTTTGTCAATAAAGCCAACATATTTGCTAAGTCACACGGTCTATCCGAAGTCTGGCTCACCGAGTTTGCACTTAATGCCGACATCAATGGCGTGGGCAACCAAGAAATTACGGAGACCTTTATCCGTGACGTTACATCCTGGCTTGACTCACAGCCTATCGTCACGCGGTACTCTTACTTTATGTGCGCTGAGCGATACCTTCTTTCTGGCAACGTCCTAAATCGCGCTGGCCAAGCGTACGTTGCCCCGTCATCTCTTACTAGTTCCGTCGGTTCTACTAGTGCTTTAGCGTCCTGTGATGCGGCTGCGTAGTTTAGACATCCAGTAAAAGTGCTGTAACCAATGAGTTTTGGATGCAGTAAAATTCAATCCACAAGCCTTATCGCCCCCTTCCCCCTCCCATGACAGATTGCGAGTTCATTGCGCGTTGGCCCACATTGAGTGCTCTCTGCAGGGGAATATGACGGCGAATGTTATAGCTCTGTTACAAGCCTCTATGTATTCCATATCTTAGCTACTAGATGGATCATAAGCAAAAGACTTTTTGCCTAAATCTAGCCTATTTGAACACGAATTTGTCTACTTGAAGGTCCGTGTTTGCTATCAAATACATTTGTAGTTCACGACATTCGGCGATATTAAACCACGCTAATGGACAATCTCAGGATTTTGCAAAAGTGACTGCAATGACTATATGCTGTTCGTTTTTTTCCCCATGGGTATGCATCATTGTCACATGCTTCCTGTTGGTTTTTATATTGTTTGTCCCTCGGTGTTGCGGTACAGTCATTAGCGAAATCAGCTTCCGTCCCAGGCATTGCCTTTTTATTTTGCGGCCCCACTGCCAATGCACTAGCCTCAGTTTTTACTCTACAGTCATTTATGAATAGATTGTAATCTTGAAAATAACGATACCAGGAAACGCGTTTGAAGAAGAAGATTCGCCATTTCTCCAACGGTAGAAGGGCAAGGGGCAGCTCTACGAGAAACCATAGAGAGAATCTACTTTAAAGAGATTCCTCTTCAATTTCTGTTAATTTAGAGCAATTGGCGCGGGTTTCAGCGCGAAAGGTGTCCCACGAAGACGCCTCCGGAGGGTTCATTCGGGTACGTCAAAACGGCGCGCTGCTTCACGAATAGCAATGATTTCTTGATTCTTTATAACCTGGATAGCTAACAAGTTCCTACCCTCTCTCTCTCTTGTAAATTTTGAGAAGTTTGAGTACCAATTGGTGGCATGGTGTGTGATTAAATTAACTAAGTGCTAATTAATGGACGCGTTTTGGGTGGGGTGTGCAGATCGGTAGTGAGTTAGTTAGCCCATACACGCCCCTCGTTGCCAGTTCACTGATTTGATCACTTTGTGAGCAAGCATATCCCGATGTCTCCACACTTGCAAGGTCTCGTAGAGAGCCAATTTTGAATAAATTAGGTAATAAGACCAAATATTGCAAGGCGTAGATTCGACACGCCCCATTCTTCCACCTTTAAAGCACAGCCCCGCCTGTCTAGTTGGGCAGTGCTTTATGATCGATGTAGATATTTATATATTAAACCCCCACCGCGAGGTCTGCTGCGTCATTCGGTTGATCATATTTCGACCGGTAAACATCAGCTATCTGACAATCACCCTCCTAATGACACAGACGTCCAGCCAAGCCCAACGTCGCCAGCGGTTAGTGTCTATACAGGCGGGAAATTCTTCTAATTTGACTATTATAAAACCTACCCGGACCAAAGCTTCGTCACAGTCGTTACGACAAGAGCAAATATCCCATAAAAATCAAACATCTGAAACATTGAGCCTTGATTCAACATCGAGACAAGACCATCCGTGGCGGAATCCCAGGCCGACCACGTCACAGTCATTACGACAAGGCACAACATCGACACAAGACCAGACACTAATAAGCACTACCTTGGCCAGGTCACAGTCATTACAACAAAAATCAACAACCATCAAAGATCGTACATCAGGGTCATTGCCACTAGATACAGCAACGACACAGCACCCCCGATTGGTGAACTATATCCCGACAACGTCATGGCCTTTACGACAAGAGCCAACGTCGATAGAAAACTATCCATTAGTCAACCACATCCTCATCACCTCACGGCCATTACAACAAGAGACGCCATTCTCAGAATACCACACGTTACCAGCAACAGTCATCCCCTATCAAACAAGGATCACCCGGCAGACAACATTAACTGCCTCTCAGAAAGCGAGAGTTTCGGACATTTCTCCCACTAGTCCCGTATTCTCGACGAGTCGGCCGAATAGCAACTCTTCCTCTTCTTTGCGTGGCCTCTATCCGGTACCGTCCCCAGTCTCTACCCGACCGACAGCCACACAATTTAGCATTCTACACCTCAATCTATCAGAGATCCGAAAGCTTCAAACCAAGTCTGTGGGGCGGGTTAGGACTATCTATACTATCATTACCCACACATCGACATTGAGTTCTCATCACGGGGTCCAATCATCCTCTACAACATTCCTCCCGACGAGCAGTGAAGGGACACGTTTGGCGTCAATACGACATCAAAGTAACGTTGAATATCCAAAACTAGTTACAGCACCTAGTACTCGCACCGGGGGCTCTATACTCTTGCAATCGACTCCGTATGCGGAAAGGATTCCAATAGATTCCAAGGATTCGGCTCTAAGGTATTTTCGCCGAAAAATATTTGTGCTGCGTCAGCTAATCGTAGCCACCTGAAGCACCCTAACAGCAGCATCCGTCCTCACTCATAACCCCACCTCTTCCTACCCCCTAGATACAGGGTTTCGTGCGAATCAATCTGCTCACGGGTCACCCAGGGGTGATAACAGGGAGACCGCATCAGCTTCACCTTCATCATCAGATGGCTCCGATGTCTCTCACCCTATGACCATCACCAGTGTTGGTGTCACCATGGGAAGTGTCGCATCGGGTGGTTTCGTAATCCTGATTCTGGTGGCGTGGGTAAGACGGCGGAGGAAAAATAGATCGCCTAGGCATGATGGAAATCAGGTAAGCATAAAGCAGCGTGGTCCGCATCAATTACAAACTACCGATCAACGCTGGGCACCCTCGTCAATATATTCACGTGCGACAAAACGAACAGTGTAGGTGGACAATGTATACTAGCAACCTCCCCCACAACACAGATAGATATCCTCCAATTCTATGCACTTTCGCTACATCAGGGCCGCGAGGTCTGACCTTCTGATCAATACGGCCATTAAAAATCCATTTACACGGGAAGTGGCCAAGAAGTATAAGAAAAAAGAAGATGTGGGGGTGAAACTAAATAAGAGAAAAAGAATGTTGGAAATAACTACAAATGGAGACCAAATCAATAACTTTAACGTGTATTCCTGCACAGCCGTTTCCCGCCGTGACCGCTCGGTGTCTAGCTAGGATCAATACATTCAATGTCGGTAATACCCTCAACAATACCTCCATTTGGTGAAAATGAAAACAGAGTCTGGCTTTTTAAAACGACATTTTGAGGCTTTCCTTGGGCAATTTGGAAGCCGGTTTGGTCGAAGTTGTAGATATCTCGCGGGCTTAATTTATTATTTTCGATATACTCGGCCCAACGCACGGCCCAACTCCCACCGCCGGTGAGTGGCAGTAAGTACATCGCAAGGCAAGCCTCTAGGTGAAAAAGATAGTTGGGGACCTATTTTTGAAACCTTGAGGCTACGGCTTCGAATCCTGTCACCGTGACAATTTCCACTTATAAGACACCTACCAAGGAAAGCCGTTGCTTGGTTGACTCGGCTAGGACCTGGAGGTAGATCCCCCACCCAGGGTAGCATACTGTGGACGCAATAAAAGACGGCGAAGACGGGTGAATTTGAAACGCTATCGGAACGTTTGCTAGAGGTCGTGCTAAGTTCATCATGGATACTATCTCACGCCGCGGGTTTATACTCAATAACTCAATTTCAGTTCAATCTCAGTACTTCAAGAACTCTTCATCATCCTCACTAAATATAAGTGCCATTGCTAGACCCTTTGTACTCGTCGGCGTGGGCTCGCCCTTAGTCCCTTGGACCCTTATCTCCGCCGCCTCCCTTAGTAGCACCTTATCGCCTGATCACCGCGTGATTTACTCCAACTTTTCCGTCCCAATACCTTCCGTTAAAGGGCGAACGGGGGCGCGGTGGGAGAAGTGAGACCTTGTGGGTCATGGGTGAGATGGGCGATATCATCGACCGGAGTTGCGCTTCTCTTCCTATTACTGTCAAATTACCTCGCGTAATCCGCATAGGAGTTACTTACTGTTGAGATTCGAAAGGATGGGGAAGTTGCGGGGAGAAACTTGAGTCTTAGGGCCCGATTGACTGATAGAGGGGCCAAGAGTCATACTTCCTGCGCTTGATTTATTGTCATTGCGGCATATGGCATGGGACTCTCCACTCAGAAGACCGACGCTCCCTTGTAAGGCTTTCACGATTCCTTGCAGGACCGTAGAGTTCTCCTCCCATCTTTTGGCACTCAGCCCAAACTGCACGATTTCGCCCTTAAGCTGCCGTACTTGCTGTTCTAAATCTTGCCTGGTCTGCTGTTCCTTCTCAAGCTCTCTGCTTTGTGCTTCAAGCCTGTCCTGATCTTCCTTAATCTGCTTGACTTGTTCGGCGATTTTCTTCTGTTCCTCCTGTCTTCGAGCTTTTTGCCTCAATCGAAAGTCTCTTTGTGCATTTCTTTGTGCTTTCTTCTGCGCTTCCTTCCGTGATAGTCGAGGTTTGGGTGCGTTCTGAGTGTACTGGGGCCCTGTTAGCAGGGCCATGGTATTGGGTTCTATGTTGGCTAACATTGTCCCTTTCGACATCATGTGTTCTTTTGGGAAATGGACAGAAATCCGTGTCATTGTTTGCCTCCTCTTCGAGCAGGTAGTCCATTGGTAATTGATTGGGACTTGGCCTAATGAGGTGTGTTTGGGGTTTTAGAGAAATGAGGTCATGGATGGAATATGGAAGATCATTTGCAAAAGCATTCCATGCTTTAACTATGTGTAATTATGGGTTAACTTAGTTAACTAGTTACTTAGTTAACTAACTAGTTAACTAGTTAAAGGAATCGTTACGCAACAGTCACGTAATGGCGACTGACCGGTTGCTTGCTCTATTGAAAAATAAAATAAAAATAAAATGCGTGTTTTAATATTAAGCAATAAAACAATAATAGCAATGTAAGCAGGCTGCCCCGGGCTGCCATCCATATTTTCAATGGAAAAAAAGCTCAGAAAAGGCTTGAAGTGGGCTAACTCTCGTGATCTGACCTAGGCATATCAAATTCTCCTACTTTACCTCGATTACGCCAAAATCACTCGGCCTTACGTGGAGGGCGATTGGCTGGAAATGATTCGGCTACCGTCTTAAGCAATGCATATGTAAAAGCCGAGGATGTATAGCGGCCATGCTATGAAGGATCGGATGGATGAAATCCACCCAGACCATCTCAGTCGACTGGCCAAGGCTAAATTTAGGACCACCACCACATTCACGGTTAGTTCGTGCTAAAATTAGAGCCTTTGTCCTAGATTTCTTATTTATATTAAAGCCAAGTCAGTGATCATTAATATGCCATCTCTATCTTCACAGATTTATACTTATGTTAGAGATGAAAGAATTATTGAAACCCCACGCCAGGCTGCCCAGTCTTTCCGTTTCCACCGATATCCCAAAAATGGATAGTAGGTTCTTTCGCTCTCTTGTCAACCAGCCAATATCAAAGAAACCCATTCCCACTCCTCATCAACAAGCCCAAAGGTCAGATTACAGGTTGGAAGCCCGTTTGAAGGCAATCGAGTCCGTACTCGGTTTAAACGGCGACTCTAGCAATAATATGCAGAAGGTACAAAATGCCCTCCAAGAAACATGTAGCAAGCTCGCGCTCATGTGAGTATCATAACTTCCTCGGCATAAGGTTCGCAGGCTTAGTTTTCAATAGGTGCGAGCAACTGAATTCACTCATAGAGAAAGATTCCAGTCCTATAGAACCAACGGAGGTGTCTAAGTCTACCACTCCAACCAATTTTGATGATTTCGGTTTGTGCGAGCTGCCAGAGTTCGGGCTCCCCTGGAATTAATTGTTAGCTATAAAGAGGGTTTGGGGACAAGGGGCGGGGAAGATCTTAAAAGAAGTCCTATACATTCAGAACCGTGCTAGCTTCTGTGCCCAAGCTGAAAGGAAAAGAAAAGCATATTTAGTTACAGTAGTAGTAGTAGTAGTAGTAGTAGTAGTAGTAGTAGTAGTAGTAGATTTCATTTACCCCGACCCCTCGCAAAGTTGAATTCTAAACCACACCCCACTAGGCTGGGTACGGATTCGTATTTTGGTCTAGTGGTAAAATCAACTCGCAAAGCGATATTCAGGCTACAGCGATTATGTATATCCGTAGACGTACATGTGTGTTGTACCACTTCTTGAAAACGAACTTAGAACCTCGTCAAGGCCTGCCGTGACCTAATTGCCGTTCACGTTGTTAGGCTGCCCTCGTGGCGCACGGCTTTGAAATCGCTGTGACGCCTCGGCGAAGTCTATCCTTCAACTGCCGAGGATAGGATGTTGAACACTTGAAGAAGCGCCTTCAAGCCAGTCTACTAACAAAACCACTAACCCACGAGGACCCGCTACGATATTGACAGCTGGGATGACATATACTGAAAGGAACCATGTATGGGCTCCAAGGAGACACGGCATATGTACACTAGGACATGTATTGATAGATCAGTGATAGTTGCCATTTTGGCTTAGCCGCCGGGCGTTAATGAATTGTTTGTGTGTACCAGGTCTTCCTTATGGACCAGCTGTTTGCAGACTGTTGCAAGCCCGCCGTGACCGCAAATCTAGTGATGGAATTCATGCGTCCGATCCAACCCGATCCAAAGCTAATACTACGCGTTTGGCCGGTGAGGAGATCGAAGGGCGCAAGACTTACATGGAGGGAGCTATCAAGATACCCGAAAAGTGCTCGGATAGGATGCTTCTCGCTGCCCGCGCCACTGCGCTCTTTATTTTGCCCAAGCCGTAGAAGTGCGGGAGGGGTTCTTGATCTCTGTTTGAATTAGTATGCCAGTGCTACATCTGGTGATAACAGACACTGTACTACAAAGTTATTGCCTGTTCATGTCCAACTTGTGGCATAGGATGGGTGCTTGCAACGATTTTGAGCCAGCCACTGTCACTGGCTAACAAACTGTCGCATCGTTTTGGGAAGGATGGAAAAGTTGGAGCAAACTGAGTGTAAAACAGTCCTTGATTTTTGGAAGTGCCCAAAGCGCGAAACTTACTTCCGTCCCGTGGGCTTTGGATGTGCTCCTTCACCCTTATAAAAAGCAAGGTACAGAATCAGACATCCATTTTGAATGCACACCTTCGCAATTACCACTATTTTCATCTTGCAACCGGCCTCCTCCTTCCTATTGATGTCCTTGTCTGCTTAAGGAATCCTTGCTTGCGCTAAAATCATCATGGTGTAGGCGGTTGGAATTGACTTAGGTATAACCTACTCTCGCGTAGGCGTGTGTTCCGTGAGGATCAGTTTGAAACGATCGTAGATGATCAGGGAAACAGTTCCACCCCTGCGTTTGTCGCCTTTACCGATAGTGACATCTTGGTCGGCGATGCTGCGCAAAGCCAAATTACGATGAATCCGCAGGATAGGGTTTTCGACCCCAAGCGTCTCATCGGCCGACGTTTTCACGATCGTAATGCTCAAGCTAATATGCAGCACTGGCCATTCAAGGTTATCGACAAAGAGTCGAACCCCGTCCTAGAGATCTCTATGAAAGGCCAGATCAAGCTCTTCACGCCTGAGCAGATCAGATTCATGATCCTCACCAAGATTCGGGAGACCGCGGAGGCTTACCTCGGCGAAGCTGTCACCAGCGCCGTGATTGCAGTTCCGGCAAATTTCAACGACTCCTAGCGCCAGGCGACCAAGGACGCCGGGCCTATTGCTGGTTTCGATGTCCTGCGAATTATGAACGAGCCGACCGCCACCGCCATCGCCTATGGCCTTCGCAAGAAGGTGGAAGGAGAGCACCACGTCTTGGTTCTTGACATGGGTGGCGGGACTTGCGACGTTTCTCTGTTAGTGATTGAAGAAGGAGTCTTCGAAGTCAAAGCTAGCGCTGGGGATTGTGACCTTAGACTCGTGGACTTTGATAGTATCCTCGTCAATCATTTTGTCAGTGAGTTCCAAAGCAAGCATAGCAAAGTCCTGACCAACAATTCCAGGGCCTTTCAACATCTCCGTGCGGCGTGTGATCGTGCTAAACGAACCTTATCATCTAAATTCCAGGCGCTCATCGAGATCGATTCACTTCTCGAGGGCATCGATTTCACGATCTCCATAACGCGTGGTGAGTTTGAGGATATCTGTCACGACCTCTTCAGCCGACTATGAATCTAGTCGAGCGAGTCATACGGGAAGCTGAATGTGACAAATCCTCCGTCCATGAGATTACCATGGTAGGTGGCTCCACGCGTATTCACAAGCTTCAGGATCTCATCTCCGACTTCTTTCCCAAAGCTACGAAAAGCGCAGCCATCCCTGATGAGGCAGTCGTCTATGGTGCTGCCGTCCAGGCCGCCATTCTCTCGCGGGATACCTTCCCTTAGCATCCAATTACAGGGCAGTATCATGACCCCCTTCATCAAGCGCAACAACACTATTATCTCCACTACGAAGTTCATGGTTTTCTCGTCCGAATACGACAACCAGCGCGAACTTTCGATCCGCGTCTTTGAGGGAGACCGGGCCCACACAGACGGCAACACCTTGTTTGGCAAATTTCAACTCAGCGGTATAACCGCAGTTCCACGGGCTGTACCCCAGATCGGAGTCACTTTCGGGATGGATGCCAACGGTATCATGGAAGTGTCCGTAATCTAGCAGGATTCCGATAACAAGATCACCCTTTCCAGTGACAATAGCCGTCTTTCTAAGCTCGAGATCGAGCGTATGCTAAGGGAGGCCGGGAAGTACAAAAAGGACGATGAGATTGAAAATGACCGTATCTAAGCCAGAGATTGCCGCATGGCCCGCGCCCACATTCACAACACCATCGTCAATGAGGTCAAGGCACCTATATATGTCCGAAGAGCAAAAGACAAGACTTCAAGACTTCAAGACAAGCTTGTCGGGATCGGCTCTTGGCTCGATAGAACGTAGGCTGCGAAGCAGGCTGCGTTTGCGTTAAAGCAGGAAGAGCTAGAAAGCATCGTCAACGACTTGCACTCGCATTCTCGAAGGTCAATCTATAGCCTTGTGAGATTATTCCCCAAGCCTTATGAGTTTTCCATTGCAAACATGAATCTTGGCCATCCGTAGTTTCCCTATCCGCTCACTACTAGCTTTTATCTCATTCCCGTCTCACTTTCCCCCGGGCAAGAAGTTCTGCATTTGCGTCTATAGGTAGATCTAATAGTTGAGTGGGACGCACACAGCTTGCTCCAGTTCATCCACTTTGCCTAGGCCTGAGTTGGCAAGTGGTAACACCCATGCTGACGACGGAATATATAGCGCATATCTTTTTAAATCAGCATACGTGATGTAGATTCATCTATACGGGCTTGTAAGCCTTTTTCCCTACTAAATATGACTAAAAGAACAAGTGATAGTTTCAATAACTGCTCAGAGTATTTTCTGACTTGGACCTGCTATGACATTAGGCTGCAACTAATGTTTGATTCATACCGAGTAGAGTGGACAGGTTTGTTTGACAACAGAGGTTTATTATAAACAGTCTCATGGCTGATGGTCTACCCATGCTCTTACGCATCCGAATAACCATGTTTGACCACATTTATACTTTGAAATATATTGGTGGATATTTGTGTGATTTGGAAATGTGTATAGGGGGAAGATGAAAAGAGATATCTCAATATACTTTGGGGCGAATGGTAAACATCCCTCCCCCGATCCACCCAGGATAAAAGGCCGCCAGGGCCTAGGAGTTCGGAGCTCTATAGGCGCTGGAGCAAGCGGTAGAGAGCTTGTATTCACAGGCCCCTTTTCCTTTTTCTCAGTGCTCTCTCTGGATAGGTCTCAGTTTTTAGTGTTTGGTGAAAGAGATGCAGCAAATTGGACAGCTGTTGCAATATCTGAAGGCGGTTGAGCAGAACTTTCATGGCCGGTTAGCTACAGTCCTGACCGATATTGGAGCCTTTGACGTACAATGTTCTATATGCGTGAGACGTTTATCTGAGCATACTTCCCTCAGTGCACCTAGGCCTTTTGCTTGTACTTCCGATAGACGCTTCAATTGTTTCTCAAGAGCGCCGAAGACTAGTAGGGTAATATATGAATTCGGTTAAGACAAGACGCTATACAAGGGCAGGGCCAGACTGACCTTTGATTCCGGATCGATTGATGATGGTGCTAGAGGGATCGCAAAGTTTTTGAAAGAAACCCATTTCCAAATCCAAATCTTCATGGATATATCTCAAATAGTTTTCCAAGGCCATCCACCAGGGCTCCCAATGCGCCAAATGCGCTTGTATACCTTTTCTTAAAGATCTTGTAGTAGATTCTGTGCTTTCGTCGTCACGACCAAGGCGGAAGGATAAGGCAAACCCTCGATGCTGGAGCAATTGAGCGCGTATTCTCAGACTGTTATCCATGATGCGCGACATTCTTTCTGCTGTGAGTGCGAGTTAACAACGTGGAGGCGGTTAGAGGGGTGCATTCCCTTACCTGCCTCACATTCTCTCTTGATTGCAGCGATGTGTGATATTTGCTCTTTTCGATGCCTCTCTTTGTCCTCCCTACTGGCTGTGTAGGTCTTTGCCAGAAATCTCGCATGGTTGCTTCTCATCTCATCCAGTGACTGACAGTGAAGTGCAAAACGGCAGTTCCAAAATTGGAGAATCATCGGGTGAAGATTTAAGATCGCATCAGTGGCAACATCATGATATGGCCCTGCGCAAATTCCCGTGTGCAAGGCCTCAAGGAGGCCTTCTAATTGCTGTTGCTCCACTTCGTTCATCTGGACAGAATGTCCTTCTAGTGTGTGTTTATCGAAGTCCCGCAAGATGGATACCTGCTGAGGGATACTCAAAGAGAAAGAAATAAAGATTAAGCAAAGAAAAGAGGGGGGGGGGGGGGGGTTCGCGGGGCACGCTTGGAGTTGTTGTAACTTACGGAAGGTAGCCAAGGGAGATTTCTAGTACTACATCAGTTCCGCGTTCGTCCGATAGCCAATAAGGGAGAGTACATCATATCCTTTGTCTTCTGGTCGCGCTTTGATTGAAGTCACATAACCTGCGGTTTTAGCCATAAGTACGAAATGGACGCTTCAGATACTGTATGCCTTATCTTTGGTGATCATCATGCTAGTACTGACTATTCCGGACCATTTTCTTTGGTGCGAATACTCAAATTGGGTTTACCATGCGTCACTAGCACCCATCTGTGTCGTTATATTTATCATCGAAATCAGCGCCCTCCCTAAATATTACTTCGCTCATCTCAGACCCATTTAAAACAATTGTCGCGCTATCGGCCGATAGGTAAACAAGAATTTGAATTGGAGTTTCTGGAAGCATAATCAGAACGTCTTCGTTCCTGTTTTGCACATTGCTAGGTAGTGGGTGATTGTGATATCCACTTGCTTTGTTCTATATTTAGAATTCTTGTCCCTCGAAGGCCGACAGCTTTTGCGGCCTTTAGCTGACTGCCGGAGCAAGAGCAACGTGACGTCACTAATTCTGGCTTATACAGCGGTGGCTTATTACTCATATATACAGAGGACTCCGTAGACCAGGAATTGTAATCCTGCGACGTAGACAGATATTACCCAGAGTTAAATGGTAGGGAAATGAAAGGAAGGTGTTCACTATCGTATCCCTAGTGCTTTGGTGAAGAGGAGGAAATATCGCCGAGAATATCGTCAAGCGCATGGGAACATGACATTTGCCCGCTTTAAATCTCTGTTCCGTGTTTTGGTGGATGAGAATAATATGTCGTGCACTTTACAAAGAGATCACGTGCATTACCACAATGTCTTCAAGGCCTGTCTTGCTAGGTTGCAGCTCATTGCTCTGTTTGATCACATTAAATACCACTCTCATAGCAGGATCTGATGGTTATAGAGACAAACAACTAATTATAGCCACGTAATAATAGCGTCCGCGCTTATGGCTCTATAAATTCGAGACATGTGCCAAAAGATTTCACATCGGAATCACTCAGTTGTTTTAGAAATCAAGAAATTCGTGTCTTAATGCCCAAATATGAGATCCAAAACCGTCAATATCGACGGCACTGTTTGCGACAATCGAGGAGGGGAATTTGAGTGAGTTGTCGGCATATTCTTCAATATGAAATGTCAAAATGAAATCTCTGACTTCAATCCAAGGATTTACAACGATGCAAACGCGGCTTCGACACCGGACGGGAACGTCCATCAGACAGAAACCTCAATAGCTCAGTCTATAGCTACAGCGACGCCCAAGAGGATTTTGTTTCCGCCTCGTCCTGGATACGGGACATTAGGGCAGCCAAATATCTTACACACCAATTATCTGTCCCTCACTCTCAGCGACAAACAGATATTCTGTTACAAGATTCATATTAAAAATACTGCATCAGGCCAGGTTCCCAACCCCACAGTAACAAGGCGGGTAATTTTGCGATTACTTGCGGAGCAATTTCGGTCACAATTGTCTCATATTGCTACCGACGGCCTTTCTGTAGTAGTTTCTTGCGTGGACATACCCTGGGCAGAAACCTACCGAGTCACGGATCCAGAAGCGGTCACAGACCCACGCATACTTACCCCTAGAAAATACAAGGTATTATTCAGTCCCACAGGCATGTTCAGCAGTAGGGAGGTAATGAACTACTTGAATGCCACTGACACCGAGGTGGACATGCAAACTTTGCGTCAGATCATGCGAGCACTGAATGTGATATTAGGGTACTTCGCCAGGAAGGAGGCGTTATTATTTGGCGTCGTCATAAACTCTGATTTCTACGTGCGTCCCGGCTCACATAAATCATCGCTGCCCGGCTACATTTTGGAGCTGTCGCACCAACTGTCCATCAAGGCGCATGCTGTGGCAGCCCGCGTACTAGTCCACGTGGAGACCCGATGTATCCCCTGTCTCCATCCAGGCCCGTTATCTGTCATGATGAGGGGATACATGTCACATCATACTTCGCAAATTGATCGTCTTGAGAATATCTTGCGAGGTATTCGGGTTCACATCATGCCTTCAGTCCGAAACTATCAAGGTCGGAGCTTTGCAACTACCGTTAAAATCAGAGGACTTGCAACTTGTAATAATGGAGCACTACTACAACATCCTCCAAAGGTGGCACGTTATGGAGCTGGACCGCAGGAAGTGGAGATATTTATAGAGTCGCGGCAAACTCTAGGTGCCGCGTCACCTCTTCAAGGTGGCTATGTTACACTGGCGGTATTTTTTGAGAAAGGTTGGCCTTTCCGCGCTCCCCATGATAGCATTAATGTGGCTAACGAGGTAGAGTATAACATTACCTCAAGCCCAGACATGCCCATAGTTAATGTTGGGACTCCAGAGAGACCTATTTATTTCCCAGTTGAAGTATGTATAGTCCAGGCCGGACAGCCGGTCAGTGCGGCATCCTTCTCAGCGCATGAATATCGTCCCGCACAAGGCCAATCAGAGACCGCGATCATGCGCGCGAGGAAAAGGTTGGCCGTCATGGGGTTGAATTTCCGCCTCAATCGAGCCTTGGTGAGGGTCCAATCCGAATTTTCTCTGTCGGACTTCTGGAGCTATCCGCTGATCTTCTCTAGACCGCATTTGGGATCAAGGCGTCTTCAGACCCCGTCACGGTAAACAGCCGCGTTCTCACCGCACCGCGAGTGCGATACGCGAGGGAAACCTCTGCCCGTGTGGCTCAAGGAATGTGGAACGTGAACGCATATCGGCTCATGAAATCCGTCACGCTACGATCCTGGTCCTGGATCTACCTTGACCCTTTGCGTGGAGACTCACTAGAAAGGAAGTCGACGACATTGACTAAGCCTTTACACCAACTGGCGACAGTGCTTCGGCGTATGGGTATATTCACCTCCGGCTTTATCCCTGGCAAAGTCGTTCGGTTCAGCAACGGCCACGCTAAGGACGATATTAAAGACACGATTTCATTCCTGCAAGAAAAATACCGCCCATCCATCATCCTCGTAATTCTGTCCACCAGAGCAAAGAGGCTAGGTGACCTTGCAAGATTTGCTTGCGATATCGACCATGGCATGCCGGCTATCGAATTTACGGACGAATGGCTGGCAGAAGCTGATCAGGAGAGGTACGCTAGGCTTGGGCTAAGAATGAACCTCAAGCTTGGTGGGGAAAATCACATGGTCAGCGCATCGGATCTTGACTTTGTCGCAAACGATAAAACTATGATAGTGGGGATCAATGTGGTCTTTGCAAGATCAGGGTCCCAAGGATCTTTCCACACTGTAGTGGGCCTTGTCGCATCGTCATGCTCTCGGCTTTCTCAGTGGCCTGCGGAGATCAGTGTGCAGATTGGCAAAGACCCGCTTATTCGCAATCTTGACGAGATGTTGGGATCAAGGATTCGGTATTGGGCCAGAAATCATGACAATATGCTTCCGCAAGATATTGTGATATATCGTAGTATGGTTTCGGGGGGCAAATACGGGGCTTGGGTCGATCAGGAATTGCCTCTGATCAAGAATGCTTGTAGGGCCTCAAAGCTCACGGAGAATTCACAAGGCGACTTGCCGCGGATCACCGTGGTGCTCGTAGACAAGAGCCATGATGCACGATTCCACCCTACAGCCGACACCGAGGGGCACAGCTCCGGTAGTCCGCTGGCTGGTACCGTTGTGGACCGCGGCATTTCAGAACCTCGCCAGTGGGACTTTTTCCTGCAATCTCACAGCCCAACACAGGGCCCCAATCAACCGACTCGCTACTTCGTGATATTCGACGAAGTGTTTCGCAGGCGATGCTGTGTCCGTAGTAATATGTGTGGTCCGGTCGATTTGCTACAGAACCTTACCCACACGCTCTGCTATCTGTCCGGCGAGACCACAAAGGCAAAAAGCGTTTGCGCACCGGTACACTACGCAATTCGGGCTTGCGCTAGAGTTCGCTCGTACTATAGTGCGGATAATATCACTTGTCTTTCATCGGGAGACCATGATGCCTGGGAACCTGGCAAGGTAGTGAAACCCAGCCTGTTGAAAATTCACCCTGCTCTCCAGGACTCGATGTTTTATCTCTGATTACCTGTGGACCCTATTTGCCATGCCTCGTGAAGCTGGAAACCTTTTTATGCATACTTCTTGCTCGACGGACAATTGGGAAGCCGTTGTAAACTGTGAGCACATTTATAGATTTGGGCGGCAGTGCCGCGATGGACCAATACAGACATGCAATGGGGAGGGTGTATTTATATGTACCCAGAACATTGAGTATGAAGACAAGCATTCACTCAAGTTAAAGCAAGACCTCGGATCCAAAATTACGCAGAGCAATTGGCGTAATCCTCTAGACGATTAGTGTAGTAATAAAATTCTCATCCATGTAATGGGTTTTAGCAAGAAGCAAAATCTCCATCACCAATGAAATTGCAGGCCCGAAGAACCGTAAGCTAACTGCTATCTGGTGGGGCGAATCATATTTAGACATCTCCGAAGCACTTAAAACCTGGCATCCGATGTGCGTCCTCCTGCAGTCTGCATGTGGTCTATGCCGCCAATTACGTTGCGAGATAGTGACTGAAAATGACCGAGGTGGTTGATGACTGACTGGCTGTTATGTGGCTTTCTTGGTTTCGGGGCACTCCATGTGCATTTCGATCCAGGTACCTATGAGGATCGCAGGGCTGATCTTATGGTTTCCCTCGTCATTATCTCTCATGTAGGGTAACTGTGCTCCTCGATAAATCAAAACATAAAATAGATAGAAGAAAACCAGTTGTTTTATTCCTGATAATAGTTTAGAGCCCCAACCGCCGAATACGGGGGGCGGTGTGCCGAGTGCCGAAGTGCTCCCATTCATTCACTGTTAGTGGGGTTCCGGCATCTAGAAAACAAGAAAGAAAGCCATCAAGGTTGTTATGAAAGCCACCTTAAGGGAAAGAATCTCTGTTGCAGAGGTGAAAACCCATAGGACAAATGGAATCGTATGAATAATGCAGAGGAAAAGGGAGTAATCTGGCATCGAAGCGCCTGCGAATAGGAACCCTGTGCATGTATAAAGATGAAGCAATAGAGCTTTGAGGGCGATAATTAGTTATTTATTTTCGGTGCCTTCCTAATTGTCTAGAGACAGACATTGTATTGTGATGGTGTCTCAATAATGTGTCTGATTTTGAAAATGCTTCAAATTTCATCATCAGGTGCCCCTTCAACTCTGTAGAAGGGTACGAGGAACTGGGCCTTGAGCCTGACCGATAAATAGAATGATTGAGATTCTTATACCCGTTACAGCTCTTTCCAGGCGTCGGATGTGCTATCCAGGTCGGTGCGCCCTATCTGGCATCGGAGAACCTACTGTATCTTAACGCCGTTCCCAAAGTAATGACTAGCTAGGCCATCAGTGCTTTGCAAAATCCGCAGAAACCCGAAGAGCCCGCAAAAAAGCCCACAAGAACTTGGAAAACATGAGACCTATAACATCCTATCAAAATATATTTTGAAAAGGGAAACGCTCTACGCAGTATGGTATACTCTTTTGGCATACGGGTTGAGTTAGCATTCGTAATTCGGCGTCATACCAACCGGGGCATACAAAGAGAATTGGGACGACGGTCCAAGAATCGAATTCAGAGAGGTGTAGGAGCGTATATTGTCAATCTGTAACTTTCTGCTACTTGTAACCTCCGTACATCAATGCTTACATAACAAAACTGCAAAAAGAAAGAAAGGACAGGCAAGGCTAATACGTAGTGAGGACTACGTTCCCCCACTACAATAGATATAACGTATTTCACATACGAGCCGGACACATGTGCGAGCCGGACACCTCAAAACACCATGTATTGTCCGGTATTTATTTTCTATAACAGTAACCTACAAAACGAATACTTACCGGGCTATTCATACATCTGATTAGGGTTATGAAAGTGGTTCTCTCTCATTCCCGACATGGAAGGCGAAGGCGGTCACTAGGTTACTGTATTCGCCAGATGGGGAGCAAGCCGCCAACAGTCCACCTAGGGCGATAAAAATAGATATTACCGGATCTTAAAAATAACCTTGGAATCTCTAAGTCCCGTAACCGAGATAGTCCATTTTTTGCACCTACCACTTTGACTATATTTGGACGATAATTTTTGATGGTGGAGAGCAACCCCAGCTTAATCTGACAGAATGAAAGGATATTTAAGTAGAGATACTGTCACCCAAACCAAATAGTATCCATACTCCACGGTGAATATAATACTAAAATGCATTTCTTTTCTTTGGTTCTCATCACAACCATCGGGGCAGGTTACGCTTTCGGTCGCGAACAAAGTTTCACACAACCAACCTTCACACTTCAGCAGGGCAAGGGTAGCAATTTGGATATCTATGCCGAAGGTGTTTTTGGGTGCACCGGTGTTACTGTGGACCCGTACGGTATGTGTGCATCGATTGAAGCCAAGTATTAGAGACTAACCAGCATATAGAGCTTACATCGGACCCAAAAATCTTGGCTCTTTGCACGACTGCGTGGCTCGTTGCTACCTACCAGGAAGACGCAAAAACACTACAGATTTATTGGTTGGATAAAGAGGGAAACCGGGCAATTTGTTCCCTTGTCGCAACAATAGGTTCCTCTTGTAAAGCCCAACTTGCAGCCGCGGGGGTGGCACAAAAAGCTACATTTGCGACCGATTTGGCACATATTACAAGTTCATCACGATCAGTGGCATCTCAATCAACATCGACCTCATCAACAACAGTTACGACCATGTCAGCCTGTGATAATGCGCGAAGGTAAACGACAGACACTTCTTCCTGGTAGCCTGCATGCGTGTCCGTACCCCTAAACTTTGGTTGGCAAAACTGGTTTGAGTCTCATGATAGTTCCGTAGAGTCCCATATTGAAGTATTTGAAAAATAGTTGAATTCACTTTATCAGAACAACCTATCCTCCCATTCCTTCCCAATAACATAGAGTACGCTAGAAACGGCCATGAGTGCATTAGTATTGACATTCGAAATTCGCCGACTACATTGACCGTGTGGTCCAGGGCTGGAAGGCCCAAGTAGAGCATTCATTAATGGATATCAGGGCCAGGTATTAAGCCGGAGCGGTTGCGGAGAGATGCACGTTACTGCATCCCTCATTGGAGCAAACATCTCCCTATCTTCTATTCCCTATGTTAGTCCAGTATCAGTCGCGTTTATAAAGTGTTACAAGTCATTATGCTAGATATTAGCGGGTTACAACGCAACATTAATCGTGAATAATGTTCACTATGACAGCCTTTACCGAAAAATCTGAGGTCTACACAGCATAGTGGGAACATGGGAGAAACAAAACAACACCTGAATGTTTTACTAACGAGGGCTCAGGGAGCCGTAATCTGACTGCGACCAGTTCATGACGCGACCAATACCCCGTTTGAGTCAGGATATTAATGGCTGTCGATCTAGTAACCACAGATGGAGGGGATAAAATTCTTGTTTCAAATAAACGCAAGGTACATAAATAGTCGGAGATATTCACTCGCTGTTGTCGAAAATATCCCGCGTAGGTATATTTCGGCCCCGGTACTTCGCTCGAGACGAGATATATACGTTAGCCATATTTAGGTAATTATTTGATTTCATGTTTAGCAGGGCCGTGGGCGTCCATAGGGAATCGGGGGAACAATATCAAATTTCTGTTTTATTTTACTACTTATTTTAATTGTTTCACTCTTCCTTCTCGCACAAAGCCATGTAGTCGTGTTTTCTTCTCGAAGTTTCGATATTGAAGATATACCCATACTGTAAGACTACCAGTTCTAGGTCTTGTTCATTAACGATGCATCTAGAAAGAAAGACCAATTGATCTATCCGTATAGAGACTCTTCTCATTTACACCACTAGAAGCAGGATGTTGACACACAAAATGGTAATATAATCCCCTATACCGCCTAAAAGGAAGGTATTGTATCGCCTCTTCTCTCTTTTCTTCAAAGAACAAAGTAATAGGTCCGAGCCCTCTCACAAAAGCTTCAGATTCTTTCCAGCCTAGAAGGCTGCACGGTGTCATCTGCCAATGATGCTGGTGGCTCCATTCGTGGAGGTTCCAGCACATCGTCCAAAAACCGGGCGAGGATATGCAAACCCGCGGAAATTCTTTACTTTGCGGGACATAGTGGATTCCTGGAAACTCAAAAGTATTCACATTCTGGCATTGACTTGCAAGATTCCGGGTCTGAGTGGGTAAAACCACTGGATCATGGGATCCAACAGCGATTAACATCGGTGTAGAGATCAGCGGAGTGTAGACCTGCCGGTATGTACAGTGGTCCTAATGTGAACCCGCTGAGACAGACAGAAAAGCTGAGGCTGGGATGACGCGCCTAAAGGGGACGACTGGTCAATTTCTCTCATCCTCTTCAGGCCGCAGCGTGGCTATGCTAAGGGCCAATCCACCTTCCAAGTAATGTCGCAGATATTGGGCTTTTTCTCCAGTAAAGATGTGATGATCGCTGCCATGGCAGCGCCGGACGAAAACCCGACAATGCCCACAAATGGGCCATCACGATCGAGAGTGTCGAGTACATGTTCAATTGATAGGTATATTTTTTCGATCTCACCATCACTAGGATCACCATATCCCAGACCCATCGGTCGTTCTGTTCATCCGTATCGGGTAGACTGGGAGTATACCTGACAAGTATTGAAACTCGAAGGCATCTACTATTTGATCATAGATTCCTAGACTCTCTCTCTCTCTCACAACCAGCCATCGCCGATGCAACCCCTGAATCGAAGAAAAACCGTATTTCTGTCCAGCAAAGGTCAACGACGAAGACCAAAGAAGACGACAACAATGGGAGATTATGCTCTCTCCGCGGTGTTTACCCACGTCATACTGCAAGACACAACAACATGGGAACCATGGCTAGCCAACATCAGAAGAATTGCCGATTAATTTAACGTCTGGGAGCTATGCGATCCTATAAAAGAAACAAACCAGTTACTCTTCTAGAACCTGAAGAACCAGATCTTCAAGAGGTTCAAAAGCGAGAAACGGCAAGTCAAGATTAGTATAAAACCTTGAAGGCTGAGCAATCAATTTGGGTCATCGCCAACAATAAATATATGAAGAAGAAGAAAGGATTGAGCACTGTGGTGACAGATATCCGAAATAGCATTCGCCCAAGCTTTCAAGCATTTATTATCTCTCAGGACTCGCCATACAAATTGCTCCAAAAACTGAGGATGAGATTCTGACCGGATTTCGATCCCACCTACCTTGCTTAACTTCAACAGCAATGGAAGAATCTAGACCGAAGGCTAGATAAAAACACAGATATTTACACATGGTTGTTTGAATTGGGAAACAGTTCAAACACGGTGTATGATGGCAGGCATCACTGAAGCAAAGGATGCTCTAGATGCCATATCAGTTATGTCACCAGGCTTCCATGAAACATGAACATTGAGACTGGAAGGCAAGAAGGTTGAATTCAGTAAGCTTATTACTCGGTATAAAGCTCACTGGTCGATCAGCTATGTAAACCTAATTTCACAAAGAACCCTGTCAAAAACGGCATTTTCAACCTGGCAAGGCCAAGAAGAAGCAAAGCCAGAGAGAGAATCGTCAAAGGCTAAGGAATCTAGGCAGGAAGACATACTAACGTGGAAGAAGCGATGCCCATGTGGTAGAAGCCTTGGTAGGTACCCTTCCCGGAGATGCTGGGACGTCTATGAAGAAGACCGGCCGTCAACATATAAGACAAACCCAAGCTGCAAAAAGAAGTATGACGCCGTCATCAATGCAAATCCAGCCCGGAAGGCCTTCATTGAGAACAAAAGACAAGAAGAGAGAACAAAGCATGTAAATGCAACCTTCGAAAAATATGATTTTAGCTTCTTCACAACAGATGCTTCCACCAAGGTCATGTTCACTCAGATCGCACAGAAAAACTGTATAGAACCGGCCGAAGAGAAGTAGGTTATCGACTCCGGGGCGCAAATTCATGTGTGCAACGATCGGAGGTTATTCACAACCTTCGTAAGTGTACAGGGCGGCGTTAAGGTTGGAGACACAGAAACGCTCGTCGTAGGAGTGGGCGCCGTAGTAATTTTTGGTGTCAGCCCAGTCAATAAAACCGGTCAAATCGGTGCTCAAAAATGCCAGAAAATCGTGGCACCGGCTTTTACCACCACCTACCCGGTGTTGGTGGGCCCCACCGGATCCCATATTCTCACCGGATCCCAGATTTTCAATTAAAAATGCATTCAACACACTATTTACAAATAACCACCATGACTATCTATATACCAATTTCCACTATTACTATCTCTTGCCGCCATTGATACTTCATGCTCAGCCTCAGCTAAATCCCTTGCCTTTTGGGCCTGCTGTTCAACTTCCAATTCCTTGGCTTGCTTGGCATGCTTCCTCTGGAGCTTCTTAGTATCAGCCTCATCCCTTTTTGCTATCATCCTATTTGCAGATATAGGAGATATGACTGAATTAGAAGCTCCAAGAATCGATTTCCTACTTCTCGGTTGATTTCTAGCTTTCTGATGGGATTGAGACTTCTTTAAAGATGCCTTTACCAGATCTAGCTGTTGGGATAGAAGTGTATTTGCATCCATACTACGCTGGATATGCCGTCTCGCGTGCTGGTTTTGAGATTCCAGATCCTTAATAAGCTTAATGCTAAGCTTATTAACCCAAGTAATGGTATCTGGGAGCGAATTGGTGACTCAGCATAATAATACGTATTATACCACCCTCTACTTCATCTTCCCGGCGTAAGGGAGTAAGAACAATCTCTGGATTAAAAGGGTAAATGCTTTTCTTCCGAATATCGTGGATCATCCTGAAAAAGTCTTCTTTTCTAGTAACACTTCCACCCCACATCATAACTTCGTTATTGACGGAACGAAAGTAATATTTTAAGCATTGAAAAGCTTGACCATCTAGCGGCTGGCAGAGATGGGGTAGAAAGTAAAATGGAATAATGAATTTCTCCTTACAAAAGGTAGTAAATTCAATGGTAGTATGAGAACCATGATTATCCATAAGAAGTCTTGGCCTGCCTTTATTAACACGAGAAATTGAAGCTTCGTGAAATGAACAAAGCCATTGAAATGCAGTTTCGTGATTGATCCAGCCATTTGGTGTAGGCTTAATTCAAAATTCTGGGATAGTGATAGTTTTATACCACTCTGCTAGATGGTTACTACCCTTAGGTAGGAACCATGGTAGCATATCTATGCACCGCATGGAGCAATAACCTTTTGACGCTTTCCTTGGCCAATTTGGTAGCCAGTTTCATCACAATTGAAGATCTCATTCCTTTGAAAACCATATTGATCTATAACCTTTCGAAGGCTATTAAACCAAAGCGGTAATTCGCCATAGTTCTCGCATTCAAACCTTACTTTTTCAGTAGGTTTTAGGCTAATATATGGGATATCTGGTGGGAGGCGCTTGATGAAACGGTATACCCAGGTATGGCCAAACTGCCGGTCAGAACCAGCAGTCTTTAAAAGCTGGTTTGCAGATCGCTCAATACGCTCTGGGCTATTTGTAGTATATGAATGGCGTAGGGTTTGAATCCAAGAAATCAATGCTCTTTCTTGAATTGAATTCAATGCCTTGCCTTGGCTAGCAATAGTCGAATTGGACTTCCGACCGTGAAGGCGACCGCGTACTCGATCAATTGGACAGCAAATTTCCGCGCCAAATTAGCTAAATTGGGCTTATTGCTTTTCTTATAGGCTTCTGCGGCCTGTAAAATTCTTATTTCAACATTTTCAATTTGATCTGACATCGTTGGGTGGTATAAAATTGGTAGGAAGTTGATACAAAATTGAAAATCTGGGATCGGTGAGAATATGGGATCCGGTGGGGCCCACCGGGTAGTTAGGTGGTGGTAAAAGGCGGTGCCACGATTACCTAATTAAAAAAATCCCATTTGACGCCAGGCTATAGAAATATTAACCATGTTTGGAATTTCTGCTTTAGTTCTCCTGCAGCAGATTTCTTGCCTCTTATGATTATTTGCCGTATTGAAGGTTATTTGTTGTCGCAACGTTTTACATATTTAGTCTAAAAGGCCCAAGCAATTATATGGCGTCATTTTGAAATTGCTTTTAGATATCTACCCTTTAAAAAACTGCAGTCTTTGAATGTCCTTTGCACCTAAGTTCTTCGCAACAGACCAGGAGAATGATGAATTTCTCCTTAAGACACTGTCAATATTCTCATTTCATCTGCTAGAAGCAACCATAGCAGACATCATGACAGCTTTTGTGATCATAGACACGTAGCTGGATCTAGTGCGTGACAACCCTCACCCGAATGTGTGAGGTATACTGAATGGAGCTGAATGATCCTCGCAGTGTTCGTGGAGGTCAAATCAATTCAAGTACGGAAGAAATTTGCTCCTCTGAACAGAGATTTCGAGCTTTGTATCCGGGTCCAGAACCTTTCGATGGCCTCAAGCTGCTGTTGGTGAGAATTTAGCAAAGTAATTGTGTTATTGAGGTGGTTGATCTCAGCACGTAAGAAATGGATTCGATTTTTAATTTCCTCCTCCGAGGTGCGCATATTACTTTCAGGGGTGGAGACTTATAGATTATAGCAACGCAACTGTAGCAACACGGTTGGCATGCAGGCTGTGATATAGATTCCGGAACATGCTTTATAATGATTCCTGTATCACAAGTTTAGAGCAGCGTTTTCAACGGGTTAAATGAGGCACGGCTAATTTAAAACGAGGCGTGGCTAATTTCAGTTGGGGTTCTCGATTCTCCCAAATAAACATGGAGAGTTGGTTCATTTCTGAATATACAGAGCCCGGCACCAAATATATTTTTGGGTCAATCAGGAAAGCTAAAGACCACATGAACTTCCTAGGGAGCTTGATTCATTCAGTTGTGTAGGGCTAGTCGGTGAAATAAAACAGCGGAGTACGATTCCGATCCTCATTCACTATCCTTGAAAGATGGGCCGGCGTTTCCGTAGGTTTCTTCTCAGCACTACGGGGCTTACACGACTCAAGAAAGCAGACGGGACAGCTATTTTGAGCGTTAGTGCGAGACGACAATCATTTCCTTAAATCCATTGCACCTCCACCCTAGTCTCGTATAATAGCTGCTATGGGCGGAGAATTGGCTAAATTTGGAGTCCGAATGGACCTTATTTATATCCGTTCTTGCTTCTCATAATGGCTTTTTGTACTCTTTTTACGAGTCAAACGAACCGTACGTCCCTGTGGATTCTTCGAAGACGCCTGTCTACAATTGCGTGACATTTGGATCTTGTCAAAACGAACCGCTTCGACTGTTTCACTGATTATCTCGGTTGACGCTAAGTGTATTTGGGCAACCCAATGATTGCTCAATGTTTCCAGCCGGTGTTTTGTGGAACCAGTGAAACACTTCGACGAGATCCACCTGTGAGGTGGCGAGCTTACTGGCTTGCTTGACAATGGTAGGGCCGTTATCCAATCTTTTCATAACATTGATTTATACAGTAGAATTCGAAAACGGCTTCCTCTCGAAACAGTCACGATTTGTTTCTCGGCCCGTACCCGAGACCCCGCTAACGCGTATTAGGACTAGTCGTAAGCTAACTTGTTCTGTGAGCCAAGATTAATTGACACTAAATCCAAATCTGAATTAGTGTGGTGAAACAAATCATGAGTGTTTCGAGGGGAAGCCGTTGTTGAAATCTACTGTAACGTCTTGTCTTGACCATCGCTACCATTTAGGATTTTATACGTATTGAGTAGGGCACGCACCCCTCAACTTACTTGCTTTGTTCTAATATTTCAATCGAAACAACAAACTTTCAAACTCTTCCTGGTCATCCTTCGGCGTATATAGTCCACTTTGCCTTGTATACCAAGAATGCCGCAACCGCGCAGATTGCTTTGTTGTACCCCCTTTTTGAAATGAGAGCACAAGGCCAAGAGAGAAACATCTTTTAAAAAGTACGAACATACCATAAAATTTCATATGCACACTATCAGGAATGGGTCCGCTCTAGCTAAATACCCGACCCAAGCTTATACTATCAATTGAAGAAATGTCCCATGACAGACACCGAGCCCGTCAGACCTGAGAACTTGGTCAGTGAGTAAATTGATATGTCAAGGCGACAGGTTTTACATAGTAGAGCATATTGAGAAACATAGATAAGACGACACACGAAGTTAACGGAAAACTAGTTCACTATGAGATATTATAATACCTACAACCGCGTTGTGCACATGTCTTATGGCCTACATGGCCACCCAAATCAGCATTATGTGCTGACGTCAGGCGGGGCAGCCTCAAATAGCGCATCGCTTGCGGGATTTCTTGGCTCGTTGAAGCTCACTCTTTCATTTACACTACTACTAAGGCTCGCACCGAATTGTATTTCTACGTAGCTTTACACTTGAATTCCGGCGACAAAAGGTGGCTCAAATGATTAGATGTCTATGTGTGAATAATAAAAAGTAAACTAAATCAAAAAATAAACCTTAATTAACTCGCCCAGCAGATAAATGACGTTGTTGTTCTCCCGAGCAAGCAGACGCCCCTAAAATCTAAACCCTGGCGCTTGCAAGTTCTGTAAATTTTGTAAAAAGAATGTAAGGGCCGGTTAATAAGAATTCCTTAGCTACCTAATCAAACTTACCGAACCAAGAAATGATAGATTGGCTCTCACAACAAGTTCCACTATACAGACTGAGTATCAACGGTTCCGGCTACAGTATATCGGACCAGATGTTTTGATAAAATTGCCTCCTCATAGTTATCAAGTTACGTTGCATTATGATGCAATGGAGAGAGAAACTGGCCATGCAATGAGGAATCCGAACCATATGTACGGAGTATGGCGAGCATGCAAGCTGATCTCTGTACAGAATGCCTAGTCTGACCTTTCGGCTTGGTACTGCACCGGCTCGCCATAATACTGGGGTGTGCATTACAAAAAGAAATGAATTTCGAGGCTTCCGAAACTAGCGTTTCCATAATTGGGTTACAAAAGCTAGTCATCTTGCTTTTCGGGGCTTTTTGTTTGAGTATTTTCTACCATCCCAATTTGAAAATGTTGATTTTTAGATTGATTCATAGATTTCAAGATAGACTTGAAAATAGCAGACAAACGACGGGAAGATATAAGTATACGTAAGAGTGGTGTCTTCCTCATAGTCTGATATTTCTTGCTTCTACTCTTTGGAACCTAAGTGAGCTTGTGCCATGCTAGGTAACAAGCGCGGAATATTTCGATACAATATCCTGTTTCGTCACCTCCGCCGTCGACGTGGAAACAGACTCACCAAGAACCCTTCAAATTTATCTCTAAATTCATGGGTAACAAAAAGCTATACATGGCATCCGGCATATGTCATAAGCTTCCTTGTCACTTCCATGGAAGCTTTGAATTCTAGCCGGTGGTGGATTAACCCAGAGAACATTGTTTTGGAGAATGAAGACTTTGACCTCGGGCTCTCACCACAACGGCCAGTTGAAAATATGCAGAGAATGGTTCATTTCCCCCAGCTTCGTGATCCAGAGTATTATTATACAGTTGAGCATTGGAACTTTTCAGCCCTCGGGAGCATCCTGGATAATTACTTACGTTGGTCCAACGAGGCGGTGAGAGGGAAATTGTTGCAGCGCAAGTATCTTATACAGATAATCTGCCTTCAATCTATGAAGGCCGTAATTGATGGGTTCATTGAAAGTTCCATCATTAAGACAAATGGTTCCGCAATTGGATATGTGGAATGTTATGTCATTTTGCGAAGGTTGAGTTTGCAAGTCAATGAACTTGGAATAAACAAGTCGTCTATGTGGTTTAAATAAATAAACAATCTTCAACAAATATGGAATATTATTTCTTTTGTTTCTATCGGAATAATTTGAATATTGTTTGGATTTGCTTTGACAGAAGCACCGGGAATCGCATCTGCTACAAATATCGTCAACTATTCTTTTCTTATAACCCACAATGGGTTCTAGCTATGAAGTCTCCGGTTGAAATACAATGCAAACCACGAATTAGACTATAATGTCGCATTGAGTAACGCTTATAAGCAGTAACATGAAACCCGGCGGGTCCGTCTTCTCACCTCAAAACTGCCCCTACTCAATTATCTATCTTTAACCGCCTACCATGCTCCCAAACTGCGTCAAAAAACTCGAAATAATAATTTAGCAGGTAACCACGACTTTATTAGCTCTGGGGTCACTCATAATGATAGAATTTTCCCGATCGCTGCTGCTGCTCGCTCTTTTGATATCAACCGCACAACTCTTGCATATTGGATAAGAAGAAGTTGGAATATAACCGTCGAAGTGTTTTACTGGTTCTACAAAACACGGGCTGGAAACATTGAGCAATTATTGGGTTGCCTAAATACACTTAGCGTCAACCAAAATAATCCTTGAAACACGTAAAAGTTGCCCGGGGATACATTTAGCCAATCATAAACATAGTGATGAGAAGATCACGAAGCAGGAGGAGGAATTAGCCAGTGAATTGTGAAGGGTCATCTTACATCTACGGTATAAAGAGGCAGGCTCGTGAGTTATCAACTTTTCCCGGGCCACTTGATTCTAGTAAAATGGAAACCAAACATCGCAATTTGATAGAGCGGATGCCGGTCGAGATCTGTATTCTCATAGCGGAGAAGCTATCGGTAAGAGACCTTAATATGATGGGTTCCATCGACAGACATATGAGGATTATTACGATGCCGCTACTTCGTGGATGCAAACTTCTCCAAATCCTCACTCGTCAAGGCGAAATCTCATCCGTGGATTTCCTTGAGAGAACGAACTACGTCGATATCCGAGTTCAAGACGCTCATGGCATGACGGCTCTACACTACGCGGCCATGAAGGGCTACAAGAAAGTAGTAAAGCTCCTGACGATGAACTCGCAGTACCGGGGATTGTTGAATGCACCAGAAAAACGACAAAATGATACCCCCTTGATTCTTGCTGCTCGGTATCATGATGAAAGTGTTTGCCAACTGCTGTTGGATACAGGAGCAAACGTCAATTCTCGAAACGCTCACGGTGAAACTGTCCTCTTCTGGGTTGTCAAGCGCCAAAGAACAAACTTAGCGCGCATGCTGTTGAAACGAGGAGCAGACCCAAACCAAGGCGTTCGCCACGGGCTCACCCTACTTACTCTGGCCATTATGGAGGGCTGCTTTGATTTGGTCAAAGTTCTGTTGGAGGAAGGATGCGATGTGGAGCAACCCGATGCGCAAGGCTATCGCCCTCTCGTCTGGGCCGTCGTGTTGGATGATCTTGCAGTGGCAAATCTTCTTTTTGCTTATAATACAGATGCCGCGACTCAATCGAATGGGAAAAAGGCAGAACGGTCGCCGCTCGTTTGGGCTGTGATGAAAGGGAACGTGGACATGGTCCAATTGCTGCTCAAACACGGCGCTGATATTGGACAGACACCCACGGACCGCCGGGCGCCTCTCATCTGGGCGGTAATCCACCGAGTCACATCAGTGGCTGAAGTGCTTCTTCAGAATGGCGCGCGTCCGAATGAAGCCGATCTTAACGGCCAAACCGCTCTTGTATGGGCTATGTTAAATAGGGACAAGGAGATGATTCAACTTCTTCTCGAGTATGGGGCTGATCCCGAGGTGATTGGAAGAAAGGAATGGTTAGTCTCCTTTGTCCCCGACGTGCAGCGTCAATAACTGCTTCTAACCACCAGTATACTAAAAGGGGCTGGAAGTTCGCGAGATCATGGCCCATCGCTGTTCAGAGTTCCTGAAATGGAAGGAATTTCATAGGTTAAGACCTGTATCACTACGCTGTCAGCGGTATATCATATAGGCGGTTTTAGAACAATGTTACCAGATCGAATTATTCTAGCTGGCGGGAATTCAGTGAAATATGAATGTGTCGAGTAACCCCACAAGAGAGTGCAAAACATACTACCTGTCTACTAGGCACCTCTCTGAAATAGTTCCTATTTGCACGCAATGTTTCAATCTTCCGCTTCAAGCATACATTCATAGAAATCCTACCTCAAGGGACCCGCCCGAATTACTTGTATAATTAAATTCATTTATTAATAAAAAATATTCTGTGGCATGAAATCAGGAATAACACAGACTCCCTCGCATTGATAATCATAGAGACCGGCTGAAATATAGGTCTCTAACCCTGCCGCTCAATGAGATCGCCTGGGAAGTCTATCTATGAAGACATGGCTGCCAGCTTAACGTAAGCTAGCTAGCGAGTACTCTAGTCCTGGTGTTGAATGTTGGTATCTCATAAGCCTTTATGACCGACAGATCATAGACAACTGGCATCCATACTTTTGGTGCAACAGCGTAATTTGGCCGTAATCGGAGCTATACCTTTCGGTCGGAACTGGATAGTATATAAAAGTGGGATTGGTGTAGAGGAGTGTCATGCTTGTCTTACTGGTTCCATCGATGGTCCAGATGATGAGGATGTTGATGTTAAGGGTATTGGAAGTGTATCTTGAGCGCTTAGGCAGTGGCGATGAAGCTAGTAGCCCGCAGCAGGGCAGACTAATCCTCTTGTGCAACCCCGAGCCTCCTGTCCAAAGCAGTGATCAGCGCCTCCGCATGTTGCTTAACCTTGTGTCTCGGATTTGCATCGAATCTCCAACGACGCTTATGGCGCTGGGAGAGAGAGACCCCTTATGTCAAAAACCTCGGTTACGAAACAAACCAGTGCCTAAATTGGGATTCCTATCGATGAAACCGCATTTTCACAATTTGCGAGAAATTGACTACTTTACTACATATTTACTCTTGAAAAGCCGATTGCAAAAACAATGTCTCAAACGCTTGAAAGAATCTCAGTTTTCACCCGGCTCTTGAAGTCGTTTCCAAATAGACGGGAAAATTGAAGATGAAGTTGAAGCTCTCTTTGGTAATTTAATATGTGAAATAGCTCAGGCTTGGTGCCTGCATGTATGCCTTCGTACTCGCTAGTATCTATAAATAGACAACGAAACACCAAAATTCTTTTATGATGTATCGTGTTATTATTATACCGTTTGAGACTAAATTAGACATCCTAATCAGAGAACTACACACGAAGAACAACGTGCAGACTTGAAAAACTGGCCTTATTCAACATAGAAAACGACACAAATCAGGTTCCCAGAGAGTCCGTACAAATGCTCTCATGCTACATCACATAAATTGCGTATAAGTAACTGCCGGGTATTAGAATCCAATAGCTCAACCGAAAGCGACTTACCGATTGAGTTCATTCTTCCTTTCGGCGAAACACACCTCAACAATTGAATTACATCGAAATATGACGACTCTTTCGGCAATACCTAACGAGATGCTATTGGAGATTTCCCTCCACCTCGACTATCCTGACCTCAATGCACTCACACGGGTCAGCGGCCACTTCCATGCTTTATTGAATAGAATTCTTTACAGAACCATCGCCAAGGACTCACCTGGGAAAGCGATAGCATGGGCAGCCGAAAAAGGGAAGGAAACCAGTGCGCGGAAACTGTTGCAGATGTGCGGCTCGAAGATATTGGACGAGCTTGTCCTTGAAGAGCGAGAACCAATAGTGATCGCCGCATCAAATGGACATGCCCGTCTTGTCGAATTATTTCTTCCCCACTGCATTCAACACGACACCGAAAAAGAAGGGGATCTATTCAAAAGAGCGCTTACTGAGGCAATTCCAGAAGAGCACGTTGAGGTGGTCAACCTGCTTCTCGAACACAAAGCCGATTTCAAAACCAACAGCGAGGACAGACATGCTGCGATTCCTTTATGCAGAGCAGTTGAAATGGAACATGTATCAATTGTGAGGCTTTTCCTTGAACACAATTACTGCAACCTCGATACGTATGACATGTATGCCATGACACCTCTAGCTCTAGCTGCAGCAGCCAAACCATCATCTACGAATCTGGAAATCGCCCAACTCTTGGTAGAGGCTGGTGCAGACTTGCATATAGATCACAGACTGTTACTCAGAGCCGCGAAATCAGACAACCTCCCCGTCATGAAGCTCCTCTTAGAGAACAACCTCAATTTGCGGCGACTGGGATGGTTCGATTTCGATGTTTTATGTGAGTTCTCTCGACCGAGACGGGAGAACCACGGGATGGCGGCATTACTGCTAGGCTGGATAAATGTGGATCGCATACTGAATAATAGTATTGTTCAATGCTGCCTTCTCTTGAGGGGAGCTATTACCAATCGTCTTGATAATCTGCTAGAAAAGATACTGGATGGGTGCCCTGTTCTCGCTGAAGACCATAAAGCAAGCCGAAGGGCAATCGGTTTCTGTCCTTTGAGTGTGGCTGTCTGCTATGGCCGACCTAGAGTCGTCAAGCTCTTACTCGAACATGGTGCTAACCCTAATGGCGATCTTGACTGTTCACCGGTACAATTTGCTCTTGAAAAAAGAAAACATGCAATGGCAAGGCTGCTATTTGAAAAAGGAGCGACACTTGATCCGGAAGGGTGCCGTGGATCGTCCGAATACCGTCAATTACTGAAGCTTCGTATGGCTCGAGTGCAAGGTGGCCTGTTAACAAAGACCTATATTTATCCATGTGATACGAACATTGACAGATTTCTTTAGATTTCAAATACACTTAAACAGGACACTATACAACGAAGAGAAATACACATTTTGACTATGATGTATCTATAATAGGCTTTTAGCCCTGACGTTCTAGTGCTTAGTTTTGAGCGGGAAGCTTTTGCATATTGAAGTCTGCACGAGACTGTAGGATAGGTACTTTGGGTCAGATTGGAAGTTATGTGTTATGTGTATCATGGATGATAATATTATCAAAGTATTCACAAGCAAATGGCCACCCCCAAAACCACATGATAAATGCGATATTTATAACCTCATATCTCAGCAATAACATTCTTCTTGGATCCTATTTTTCTATGGATAGTTGTTGATAAGGATTTGAACCCCATATATCAATATTTAAGAAATCAAAGTACTACATTATCGCAGTATTGAAAAATAGGTTGCTCAGAATAATAATTCTTTATTCATCGCAATTATTAAAGTCATGGGATTTCCCCTCACTTCATACAGAGGTTAGAGTCACCCAAAAAGCATCAAAGAATAAGGAAAACCTCCGTAGACCGACGTTGTTGAGATATCGATGGCCTTTCGCTTGTGAAGTACGTTACTATATTTTATTATAATAGGTTGATGCCAGATAGTTGAGTCTTTTGGCGTGTCTTCCAAAGTACCTTGCTGACGAGCGGTGATGGCGGGAAGCGGTTGCGGAGGGATGCACGTTAAAGGGTGTTATCTAAACTAAACAAAATTCAATATAGTTACGTATTTTCATAGTTCTAAAATAGACCACACATTCCGGAACGTTCTTCTACCGAAGTTCGGACTAGGCCTTCCTTTTAAAACGATCGTTCGAATCAATTTTGACTCCAGCTGCACTACAGTAATGTTCGAAATCAGCTGTACCTCCACACTCTTGCGACTTCTTTGCCGGAGAATAATTCCGAGTAATGCGGGTCCTAATTGGATATACTCGCGACACTTTTGGCTCTAGACCGCTTCCTAAAGTAGTATCTGTATTATACAATTACAAATGTGAGACGTCAAATAATGTATTTTACATTGAAACTACCATACACGCACTGCGTCAACCCCCTTCTTCTTCCAGTCATCAAGCTGCCTCCTCATCGTCGCTAGCCATCCGAGGTTATTCAAAGACTAGTTCACACAACATGGCTCCAAGGCTCCCTCTCGCGAAGTTCCATCTCATTGGTGACATGATAGAGAGTCAAACCGTTACAATCTTCCAGATGGCCGAAGAAGCGGAATGCACCAAGCTTACAATCATTAATATTCGCAGAAATCTATGGCAATTTGGAAGCATCTACGCGCCCCAAATCCGAATCGGTAGGAAACGTACCGTGACACCGCTAATGATAGAAGCGCTTTGCGACCATCTATCTGAGAAGCCCGGCGTCTACTTGGATGAGATGGCTCTCTTCTTCTGGGACAAGTTCCAAACCTTTGTTACAATCCCAAGTATCCGAAGAGCCCTTGTCGCCAAAGGTAAGGTTGGTCCAAGAAGACTGCGCGATAACGGGCCCAGGAACAAAATGCCGATTTGCGAGACTATTATCTTCACACTCTGTCTGACATCCAGTCGTATCATCTAGTATGTGTCGATGAGTCTGGATGTGATAAGCAGGTTGTATTTAGACGGATAGGCCGGGCACTACTATGGAATGTTCCTTAAAAAGTGGCCCAGTTTCATTGCGATCAGCGATACCAGATATTGCCTGCCTATGCCCAGGACGGGATCGTTCTCTCCCGTGTCTTCCGCGGTTCCACAAATGCTACCGCATTCGAGGATTGATTTCGTAATACACCTTCTCCAGCATTGCGGGAGATGGCCAGAACCTACATCTGTCCTGGTTATAGACAATGTATCATTTAACCACTCAGAGGGGCTTACACAGACGTGGGCGGATGCAGGGGTGAAGTTAATTTATCTACCCCCTTACTCACCGGACCTAAATCCGATTGAACAGTTCTTTCAAAAGTTTTATTAAACATCACTGGAACCATTGTGAACAAGATCCAGAACAAAGATTCGATACCTTCCTCAGATGGTGTATCCGTATGGTCGGTGCCAAGGAAGAGAGTACTAACGGCCATTTTCGACATGCGGGCCTGAAAATAGAATTTCGTGACAGTTGAACCGTGTGGGCCATCCCTTCACAGCTTCCCCTAATAGGATCTACTGGCTCGATTATTACGCGTAGATGGTTTTTCCTGCATCTAATATTTCTTTTGAACAGCACTGCAAGCTTTACGGTTTGCATTGATGAGACCGGATATTTGCGTGCCATTCTGAATGGTAAGTGCCGACAATTTCTCTTGTACATCAGTCATATTGGTGTCGTTCGCTTGGAAAAACCAATGATCTTGTTCTGTTACCACGTCAATTCGAATAGAGGGGGCTGTGATTGCTCTTGGCTTTCTGCAATAGGAACCTAGCTTTCTGCAATTCCAAAAAGTTCAAACTTCTGCGGCTTCTCGAGAAGGAGGGTAAGCCAGAAACTCAAGGAATCGAAGGTCTCGGATTCTCTTGTGATCTGCTCCGAAAGACTTTCCTCGGCAAATACTCCCTTTGAGAGTGGCACGACGTCCTTTCCACCAAACAGATAAAATTTGCTGATTTTATCTGACATGCATGATGCCAATTCCCAGTCACTGGGGGAAGATTTATCTTCCTTTCTTTCTCCCTTAACAAGGCATAAATCCTTGATTTTGTTTGCGCAACACGAGATCACCGTTTTACCACCTAATGAATGGAAAGCCAAGGCAAAGTGATACATGAGTAAAAATTGTAGCTCCAGTCTGTTCTCATAGTGGTTGATAGCATGCGAGGGATGAAAAGAAGGTATGACGATAGCGGTGTGCCCATCGACAATTCCGATGTGTTTCGCTCCGTACTCAGTAAAGATCACCCCCACAATTGAATATCCTCATCCACGGACTCTCATATTTCGGATTTGTACAGTGAATGATAACTTGAGGTCTTTTCATCTGTATAAATCGTGCAAGAATTTCTTCACACCTGAGGTTTGCCCTAAGCGCATTTTTGTCAGGCTGCAATGAGAATGCATTGACAAGAGTGACGGTACCAATGTCACGAGTCCCTCGACCAGCAAAGCGGAGAAGTTCGTCCACCGCTTTCAAAGTGCGACAGTCATTCACAAAGCCACCATAGCTCTGGTTAGGGGAATGTGGATTTTCAGTGCGAGGGCGCTCGAGAATGACAATAACATCAGACAATCCAGACGCAAGATTGCTGGCCTGAGTTATACTATGAGAAGAGCAGCCCGATTCTTGTCCATGTTCCCTCAAAATCTGAATCGTTTGGATATCCTTTTGCTGATGTAGACATACTGGTGGAGATTGCGTCATCTCTCTGAGACAGCGGGGTATGGCTTGAGGGAAATACTCGTAAGTCATTTCGTACATTCCTTCCATTTCTTCTTCGCAAGCTTGAAAGCGTATAGATGGGGTCAGTTCTGGTAGGCCAGGGTATCTGGATATGTTGTGATACTCTGTGGAGGTTGTCTATGAATCACTGGAGATTGGGCTGAAGGTTACAGTATTCTGACGACGTATCATCTGTTTGTTACGGAGCATTAAGTACCGTTCCTCTTCTGCCGACTCTATAAAGCGGCGGCCCAAAACAGAGTAGTGTACTTCGGGTCTATTTTCCGGGAAAGAATTCGTAAGAGTAGAGAGGTGTAACTGTTTTCGAATATTACTGTAGTGATATTTGAAAGCAGCTCTATGCTCTTGCGAGTAGAATTCGAAAAAGAAGAAGCCGAAAACCCGTCCTTGTACAGCGAATTTGAGTGCTTTCTTCGACTGATTGAAGCCATTGAAAGGCTATAGTATCGTCGGTCCAACCATTAGGTGTATGAGTAATCCAATAGTCGCCGGGGAGATTGGTAGTCCTATACCAATTCTCCATAAGGAATTCACCCTTAATCAAACCCAAGGTGGCATTACCCAGCCATCGGCCGCAATACGTTCAATTGAAGTAAAGCGATTTAGTAGGGCCGCCAGTTCCTTAGTTGAAACAACCTTTCGTGCTTTTCCTTCGCCGATTTTGAAGCCGCTTTGGTCAAAGTTATAGTTATTTTTCGAACCGATTTTTAACCGCTGAATAGTATCACCTAAGCGAGTATACCAGGTAACAAAATGACCAGGTGTAAATGCTTCTAGGCGGTCCTTTTCCATTGGTTTTTGCTTGATATAGGTGTATTTTTCGGGTTGTCGTTTAATAAAACGGTAGGCCCAATTCACACCAAGGCATATATATGGATCATTCCGATGATACGCTCTATGCTAAATCCAGGAAATGATCTTTGAATATTAGATATTCCTAGATTTCTGAGACCAGGGTAACGTGACAATGACGATGGCCATAATCAAGATTCGACGCTGTATCACCCGTAAAGGCATCCAGACAATTTTCCTGATAGAGTGTATTCGATGGCGGTATCAAGAAATAAAGAGCCCACGCCAGACTTTACGATAAATTTATTGAAGAACACTTTGTACTATTTATGATATTTGACGGTACCCTTCGGATGATATAACACATGTCAATCAATCAGAAGACTTGCTTTACGATACGTTGACCATTTTGTAAGAAGTATAAATACACCATCACTACTTAGATATCTTGCATTCACTTTATTTAAAGCTATAATGCGCATTTCAATTTTTCTGGCGGTCCTCGGGATGCTGCAGTTCTTGGGTGTCGTGGTTTCCTCCGACCTGCCTCCAACTGTATCATACCAACAACTCTCATCTTGTCAAGAAGAGAGCGTGGAGGTGATAACGGAGCGCGTGGTATTACGTCGGGCTTGGGACTTGATCACTGTTACGCTGACATCAACTTCGACGGACACGACCGACTGTACCTGTACAGAAACCTCTATTACCACCCCCGTCACCAGTGATACGAGCAGTACAATAACCTTCTCATCGCCATCCGCTTCTTCAACAACCGAAACGCCGATAAGAACAAACACAACCATATCACTCACCACTGGAGCTACTTCAAGTTTGGAAACAGTCATTTCGGTAACGGCCACCGTAATTACTATCGACAAACCAACAACCATGATAGACTGGAGAACTACAACAGTGACGAGCATCATAACAGTCACTGACATACCCTTGAGTTCCTCTGGGTCCAGCACAGTGCTCCCGGGAACTACTTTAACCGCCTCACCCACTGAAACCCTTACAACACAAAAGAGCAGCAGCACAAGAGCCAGCAATCATGATACCTCGAGACGGGAAACAAGCATTTTAGTTTCTCTTACCACGATAACCATTGACGACCCCAGCAATCCAACCGAGTGGAGCATTGTTACTACCACAGACACAATCACCGAATCCATCTGGGCATCATCGAGTCATGCTTCACTGGTTACAGTGACTGAAACACTGATTCAACCTTTTGCGAGTACGACATATGACGCGACAAGTGGGATTTCATCCCTACCAGAAAGCTCTATAAGTTCAAGCACCAACGCTGACGCTGTCTTAAGTAAACAAACCGATGTTAAGCCAGGTTCTACGGCAATTGCTATAAATGACGCGGGAACTGTCACAGAATTGCAAATTAAAACTATCATGAGCACTAACATAGTCAATTTGTTGACTTCGGAGGCGCTACGGGCCTCTGCAGAAGCGACAGCAACGGAGTTGTTCCAGGGAACAACGGCGCGAAACATCCAAGCCCAGTTACCTAGTCAATCAATGGAAGAAACACATATATCAATCACTGTTACTTCCACCGAGACGCCGGTCACGCCGCTCGATAAAACTTTAGCCTGGTGGGGTGTTTCCGGCAGTATGGCAGATACAATCTCTGTCGAAAATTCACCATTGCTTCCAACTTCCGCTTCATCAGGTGAATCCAACAGTTGTTCGTTGAGCGAGAATAAAAGCTAACAGATATAGATCTGTCGCTTTCGATTTGCCCAAGCAGAATCACGAATCCAACTTTCACGCCCTTATCCCCTCCCCCAAAGGACTATACTTGGGGTTGTCCGCCTCGTTTTCTCTGCAACCCATCAAAGAAAACAGTTGACGGGGAATGCAACTTCGAATCTGGACCCCCTGCGGATACATATTATTGTCGCCCAGAAGAGTGTATACGAAGCCCCGAACTGGGGCCTCCTCAATTCTGGGGTCCGCCGATCACGTCTGAGAATATAGAAAAGTATAACGCCACCCGCGGGTATATCAACTTAAGTCCAATTGAATTCGGGCTCGGGTACGACATCTTCAATTTGAACCAGTCGGCATGGGATTGGAAGCGAAACCGGGCTGTGAACATACCAGGAAAATGCTATGATGAATGCAACGATGCCATGCTTGAGGCGGAATCGAGTGGCAAGACCCCGGATCTTTGTTACCCAGGTTCGGCATTTTTGACTTTGGTCCATGCCTGTCGAGCCTGCGTGAATTCTGTTTCTGTTTCGCGCTCATCAACTGGAACACTTCCCGAATTTCAACAATTCCTTTTTTACTGCGAAGAGGCTGCTAATCCAACATCGGCGGCATGTTCCTCCCGGGCCACTCGGGACAGTTCTAGGGGCTGTTTACTGACTACGTCAAATAAAGCCAGCCCCAGTATAAAGGCTGCACCTACCACTCCAACTGGACCAATAGCGAGCAGTCAACATGATGTACGGGAAAAAGCGTCTGTATCTACAGTCCGCACCAAATCGGCTTCAGCCAAGCTCGCACTGTCTACAACGACTGGCCGGGTCTACACTGATGATGCTTCATTGCTTTGCCCTCCACTGTTTTTCTGGGCAACAATGTCCTTGAATGTATTCTTTGTTTGAGATCACCGGCACCGATAGCGTTGGCAGCTGTAAAGTCAATCTAAGCTAGTGGGATTCAAGTATCACTACTTTCAACGGGTTGTTACATTGTGCTCTGAACCTCATTCGGCGTTTTGTCCGATTCGTGGCAGATCTCGACAATCTGATTGTAGCATCCAATAGATATATTTCCCATGGGATCATAAAACCGCTTGCCATTATCATTTGTGACAGATCCATCATTGTGGCTCCATTCCATCTCGTGCGGTTTAATCGATGTGCATAATACGACATCAAGATATCAGATATGGTTGATCCGGAAGGATTTGCCGAAGCAGGCCAGCGAGTGAGTTTCGGCTTCATGGTTCAACTTCCTTTGTCCTATGTCGATATGGGTTTCTCCGACAGGGATGACAAAGGAAATCGTCGGCCATACTACCCACATCCAGGTGACAATGGACAGAAATGAATGGGCAGTTTGTAACTTGCGAGGTAAATTCTGACATCTCCTTTTTATTCATATTGCCATGCTACTCAAAACACATACTTTTATCCATGCAACCTCCAGTCTAGATGTATCTATCGGAGCATTTCGCGACGTGCTCAACCCGCCTATATACTATCCCATGGGCGAGGGGGATTCGGGGGTGGAATCCATTATCCATTAGATTTTTGTATTTTTGTATGGGAGAAAGAAAAGTGAGGACACCCTCGAACCCTTAATGCATTTAGCAGTCGGCGTCAGATAATACTCAAATTTCTAGAAGCTGTATTGCCAAAATTGGATTTTGTGTGGTTTCAATTTAGATTCAATTCGACCAGCATTGGGGAATATTTGTGGGATCGGAATTCGGGAATTGTTTTGGTGAAGGCCCAGAAGTAGGCTTGCGACTGCTGTCAACCACCCACAACATCAAGATTGGCGTTATCAAGTTGATCAGTTCAACGTTCAAATTGGCGAGTACCGGTTAAAATAAGATTCAGGGGTAGTTAGAAGTCCCGGCTATCATCCCATTCACTTTTGGAAAGATCAGATCACTTTTACACACCCAATTATTATATGTTTCAGACAGTAATTATATACATTGATATAAATATATGCACACAACAACATGGATATTTATTGCATATTTTCAAGATTCTGAGCGCTTCAAAAAATATGTGCCCAGGCAGGCGTAGAACGCGTAGAACTGGTTCTGTTCACCTGATTTGACTCCCATTGAGGAGTTTTTGAGTTGAAGGCGTTCACCAGGCGAAATTGGCGGCGATATGAGCAAAGCCGGACCAAGGATCCGCCTCTTTCCTTGAGTGGTGTATCGAGGCTGTCGGATCTCGCGAAAGGACTATCATTGAGGCTCGGTGCTGATAGATCAACACTAGTTGTGTACAAGACCATTTCAGTGGCGTTGAGTTTGAGTAGATACTTCATATACATAAAACATGTTGACATATTACCGTTCACTATCGGAACATTATTTAAAATATAGTAATAGCCATATAGCTCAGATGATCATCTGATTAGGGACCGATAGAGCGTCTCTATGTTCCCGGTATGAAAGGCGATGTTGGGCGCTACTGTATTGACAAAGATCTGTACCTCAACCGCACTGTTGGCTATCTTGCCTTACTATGGCCCAAGTCTTTCTGAGTAACGATGCCAATTAGAGTACCGAATAGTTCTATACCGAGGTAATACGATATTAATGAGTGTTCCCAAGCTATAGACAAGTACAGTCACTGGATTTTCTTTCCCAAGGTATACTCAAGTAATAATGTATCATTAAAGACGAAAGACTAAACTACATAAGTAAGGAATTTCGTCATATAAGTAGATGTTGATGATTCAATGTGTCCATAGTCGCAAACAAAGAACCAACAAGAAAATGAGTTTCACATCGACCAACATTTCCCAATTTTTAATACACTTAGAGTCCGATAGTCGTTCCGATTTACATCTCATTTGAAATAGAGTGACATTCTCCCATACTACGACGCTTGACCATGTGGATATAGCCTTCCACATATACAGGCAGACATCCCTCCTACTCGGACTTTTTGATTTGCTTGACATTTGACTCGCATGCTTTTAGTCGCTCACTGACCATCCGAAATTTCGTTGAATCCCAGTCCTTGCGTCGGGCAGCTTCGATAGCGATATCGACTTTTGCTCCTCTTTGAAGTAAGTATGAAGCCACATCTTCATTCCCATATAGTGCTGTAACGAAAGAGGAGTACCGTATCTATACCCTTCAATGTTATATAGGCACCTCGATCATTATGTAATTTTACGATCTCAAGATCCCCCTTCATCGCGGCAGACAGTGGAGGATTTCCAGCTTCTGAAGAATCCACAACTGCGTTCCTTCTAAGCAAGAGTTCCACCATTTTAGTTTTCCTCCCTTCAATAGCGGCTGTCAGAGGCCATCTGAACACATAAGACTCCATATTCACCCTAGCACCGTAGTTTAGTAAAGTTTTGACAACTTCAGTATTACCGCCAACAACAACATGTACCAAAGCAGTGCCGTATGCATCATCTTGGTAATTCACGTCTGCTACCTTCCGAATTAGCGCCTCGTGCAGCGGGAGCTGCCCATATAGATACAAGCTCTGCAACCTCAGGCTTGGCAAGTAGAAGCCCCCCGGCCATGCCCACTATCGTGTCTTGGAGAGAAGAAACCACTTGGTAGTCGCCGCATATGCTAAGCCGTACGTTGCTCAGGTACATTCTCCCAGTCTGCGAGCTTTGATGAGAATGTACAAGGTGCTTTCGTAAGCGAGGCCAGTCTTTGATGTTTCCATATCTCTCGTTCGTCGGGGCCGATGCTTCGAAGCTCGATCATTTGTACGGTTTGATATTAGATAGCGAGGTGTATGCGCCTACGGGGCGAATTTAGTTAACGGCGGCAACGGAGCAAACAGTTAAAACCCTAGAGATCGGCTTTAGCTTAAGTGGGCGGTAGCATTTAAGGCCAGACGCTAGAAGGCAGTAGAAGCGACATGAGAGAGTAAGAGCAGAAGGAAAACAAGAAGACCCATGTGGGCCTCCAGTGTCAGTCCTCTGCCGCAATAGCACACAGTCTTCGTCTCGTAAAGGTATTTGTTGAAGAGGGGAACGCTCAAGGCAGTATGCTCTCTGGCATACGGGTGGATTCAGCACACGTAGTTCAGCTTAATACCAACCAAAGCATACAAAGAGAACTAGGACGATAGTCCAGGAAATGAATTCAGAGAGGTGTAGAAGTGTGTATTGTCAATCTGTAACTATCTGCTACTTTAAGCCTCTGCACATTGGTGCTTACATAACCAAACTCCAAAAAGAAAGGCAGGCAAGGCTAATGGGTAGTGAGGGCTATGTCCCCACTACAATGTGTAAAGGCTGCGGAGGAGAATAAGTAAAGGAAAGGGAATGGGCGTAGATCAAGCTCGCCAGATCTCCCCCGCCATGGAGATTTATAGTTAGTATTTTATAATGACTCATTGGACGATAAAGTCCAATAAGGCATACATCGTGACGCGGCTAGGAGGCAGGGGTTGTTTTTCAGGTAACCTGATATGAATTAGCGTGATTCCGGGTACTGTATCCGTGCCACTACTCATATTTGTGTTGGAAAGCCCCCAAACCCTCGATTAGAAAAGTAGAATAAGTTTCGCGTGCTTTAGTCTGCTGTTTCTAGTTTCTAGTAGCACCCGGAGTGCATCTTATTCGGGTGCTTGCGGTAAAGCAGGTCTAGTTTATACCTAAGTACATGCATTGCGTTTGCCTCGATATCCTCTTCTTGGCAGACTCAAGCTTTTGAAATGTCCAAGTGGAGTATATATGTACATTAGCTCCACTAGTTAGTAGAGTTATCTGCTCCAGACTTTGTAACTGATCCACATGCTATTTTTATCGATTCACCTAGGGTAGAGCTTTGTCACGTGCCCTCACCTTCGGGACTTATCGGTTAGAAACGGAGAAACCCGGGCCTTCCCTACTGTTGACCAACCTCCACCCTGGGCACCTGGCAACCTCGGAAGGTTCGTACTATAATTTCCTACAGAACTGAACCCATTTGTATGAATCTCTAATCCACCGTCTTTACCACTGACAGCCAAATTGCACCTGTTCCTCTTGCTCTTCTGATCGGCCACTCTCGTGTTCTTTGCTTTCATCCTCCAAAGCATCCAATCTCTCCTGAGGTCCCGATGTCCCAATTTCATTATGTACTTAGTTCGAGCGCCACAGGTGCTTCTATTCCTTTTTTCTTTGGACATGAGGCTCTAGTTGTTGTGCACTAGGCGGATAAAAATCCGAAACTTGTCAATACAGGGCTGCCAATACCTAGTGGTATGGTCGGTCATGTTCGGGCATATCCATTACACAGAATGCAGGCGTCAGCCTCAATATGGTCTCTCGAGGAGATACATGTAGACGTTTGAATTCCTGTTGATGGGCAATTGAAAATAATAAACGTGTTCCTTTCAATCTCCAGTCATGTCTTTTTGGAATTTTAGCGAAAAATGACATCCCACCTGGGGAAATGAAAAAAGGTAAAACAACACAAAAGCAAGGCAACCTGCTGCTCTTCGCACTTCTAATCAGGCCGCAGCAGCAGGTGGTGGTGGTGGTGGTGATGATGCTCCTTCTCGCGGATCTTGCTGCTGTTGCTGCTGTTCTTTTTCTTGTTTCTGCTTTTTCCGCTCCTTCGCTTCTGCATCTTCCTTCTTCCACGAGCCCTCATAATGATGCGTCACAAGAGGATCGCCTTGATCCATCGGGTTTCCGTTTTGAAGAGCCGCGAAAGAGACTCCGGGCATGATCAAAACATCGCCAACCAGCTTGGTTTGTTTAGTGTGTGCATAATCGCGATCATCGATGGTCCTGCCGAGCAATTGTCCGAGACTCTCCATAATTGCGATCGTCATAATCTTAGGTCCCGTCACGTCGACCACGTCCGAAAGCATTTCCAAGGTAATCCCTTCAAGTATCACTGCGTTTGCTTGCGCAATGCCCTTCAATTTATTCAGGACAGTGTCAACAATAACTTGAAGATTGCGTGAAGACTTCCGTGCAACAAATATCCAGTTGCAGAACTGGGAAGCAACTTCTGTCCCCGGTCCCCGCCATTCAAAGTCGAACTCCAATCCCACAATCATATCGATGTTCTCATTTCGGTATTCCAACGGTACCCACTCGGTGACTTCTTTCTCGCACGAGGTGTCTAAATCGCCCCAAATTCCACCTTCTGCGAGGACAACCAAGTACCGGAACAGATCCGCACGTAGGATCGGGATTATAAAGGGCTTCATAGACTTCGACAATATCCGGTCGGGTTTTGAAATAATGAGCGCGAACGAATGCTTCAGCCGATCGATCGGTCAACAATTCTTGGCGGAGAGAGGGATTCTTTCTTGTCCAGCTGCCGGTCCATTCCCGTTGATTTTCTGATATATTATCAAACTTGGCGGAATGCCAGACCTTGTCTGGAAGCATATAAATGGGTGCAGAGGCAGTGGTTGGATGATTTTCGCTAGTCGAAGGTCCTTTTTGAGGCACTGATATTGAGGCTGTGTCCTCTGTGCCTGTCGTGGTCGTCTCGGAAGTCTGCGGTATAGTGGGGTTAGAAACTAAGGTGTGTTTTTGTCTCCTTGAGTAAAGATAACAAATGAGCGCAAATGGAATTATAAGAGCAAGGGTTAAGCGCAAGGAGCGCGAGTTCTTTAAGTTGGTTGACATTGAAAGAATGAATGAGGAGCCTCAAAGGTGACACCCGGGGGGGACCTGTGGATATATGAAATCCGATCAAAGAAACCGATGTCCAAAAAAATCAGCAAAACGTCGCTCCTTTAAATTTACACTAGCGTGCGGTTGAGCTCGCAGGATTTTCTGTAATTCCTCTCGCCTTACTATGTGATTCGAGTCAGTAGTGCCACGCCAAATGTGATAGCACGTGAGTACCCATCTCTCACTCCTAAAGTTGAGCAAGACTTTATTCCAGGTCTTTCGGCGGCCAGTGGAGAGCAGCACAAAGAAGGATTACTATTGCGTATGTTGCGGAAAAAAAATAAGTCCTAGGAATTCCGACCTTAAAGCCATTACTTCTCGATTCCACTGCTCGGTTCCACGATATTCAAGATAGTAAGTTCAATACAGCAAGCTTTATGAACAAGCCAGCCAAGACCCGGAGGCCACATATTTAGGATGGATATAAATAAAGATATCTGCCCTACCGTTTCCTTCTGTTCTGGCTTGAGCAATTGGAATAATCTGCAAACCTTATCGTCATATCTTGGTTATCGTTGAGGACCGATGCTGTCAGTTTGTATTGGTGGTTTAAGAAGACATCTATATTCCGGTATGCATCCAGGTGTACTACTGTGGCTAGAGAAACAAACAAAGAGTGTAGGTGGTGACACTAATTTCCGGAAGTACTGCAGTGCATCAAACTATACTTGATGCCCATGACTTTTGTTATCATCTACAGTATGGCCGAAAAATGAGAAAAACATCCATGATAAGTTTGGAACCCTTCGGCTCATATACATTGGCGACGGCAAGGCGATGCTTGCTATAAAAGTGCTTTCTATACCAATTAATCGGAAATGTCTATTGTAACCCGCAAACCAATAAGGTCGAGACTCTTTTCATATACAGTGCATTAACTGTCCTTGGTATTTGCTGATAAAACACGAGACTAGATACTATGATTTCAAATTTCAACCAAATTAGGTTGTCTTAGAGCAGATACAGCAGCTGACAAGTTCGGCTTCTGCAAGATTTACACTCTTTCGCTCTTTCTTAGCGCCACAGTAGGACACTAGTGTAAATCCGGATTCAGTCTGGATTTGTGTAATATTAGCGATGTTAAGAACGTGACAATACCTCAGCGTGGGTAAATGTCAAAACAAGCTAAACTGTATGGACTAGTATGCGTTTAGGACGAATGAGATCAAGCGGAACCAATTCAGGATAAAAAGAATGATTGATTAATTAGAAAACATGCGGTCGAGGGCAGGTTGAAATACCCTCGGAACGTGACCATACTCGGTGGTTATTATACCGAGGTTGCCAGTTGAAACAATTTACCATACAAAACACAAGGTGGGTTCCTGGGTAACCAATCGCTTGCTAGTGGTAAGATACCACTCCATGCTCTGACAGTAAATTACTAGAACGGGAAAACTCAGAATCCAGATTGCTCTATATGATTAATATCAGCCTTATTTAATCATTGTTGGCGCAAGCACTTACAGTAATAAGACAATAACCCACCATTTATATTCCCAACTATAGAAAGCCATGGCCTAATATACTAGGTTACTCATGGGCTTTAGAAGCGTGTGGAACTTCGTGGCATATTTTTGACAGGCAGAATAGACCCGTATAGACTCCTTTCCTCTCCCAAGCCCTTCTTTTACAATCAGATTACTTTATTGCCAGCACAAAGAGAAGCGATAACTTCAACAAATACCTAACAGATGACAAAAATAAAAAGCCATCCCTTGCGCCGCAGCAAAATGATAACCTCATACATGCGAGGGTCTGTAACTTTGGTAAAAGATGTAAGGGCCGGTTACTGCCAAAAGTACTGACCTTTCGTAGCCCCTGAGGTCACCCGTTCTTTCCTTCGTGCTTGCCTCCAACTTCTTTGCAGCGATAAGTACCCGGTGCCTTCCAGTACAGGAGGATCGAAATCAGTTTTACCACTTGCACACAGAGAATTTCGCTCGAACCCCCTTTCGAAACAAGCTATACCTATTACAGTTACTCTACCTCTGGTCCCTCTTTCATTAAATAGCAACGAAAGGCACCGAAAGTTGTCAAACTCGTCCCAATCTCAAGTGGAATCTGGATACTTCATGAGGCAAAGGTGTGCCAGAAGTGGTATCTGGGTAACAAGATTCATGAGTCGCAGGATAAGGAATAATCGAGAATGAATCCTTTCACCGCTTCATATGAGCAGAAATTTATCGCACTGATTGATACAAGCCACCAAAATCCCTCCATTTTTATCAATTCACGCACTAGTTTCTTGCTCCTGTGACAGCTTCTACGCACGCGATCTACCTTGACCCCAATAGTACGTGGATCTGGTCCGAATATAATCAATTTCCATCAGCTGCGTGGGGCTCCACTTCGGCACTTGATCGACCATGCACAATCGGTGTCGCCGTAGGCCCGTGGTGTCAGCCACGACATGATGGAGACCCACACCACGAAGAGGCAGGTATCAGCGTATTCTGTCTAGAAATGAAGGGAAGTCCATATGTAATGATGGTATTCGGCGATGTGAAAAGAATTTAAAGTTGACAACCGTGAGATAATCCTACAAGGGTAGAGGGCTACTGTATGTAGTAGCTTAGGCTGCCCGCCGATTTCTGGTGAGGGGTTACCGAGTTTGCGTGAACATGGTCCCACTTGGGGGTGTCAATTTGGACCCACCAGTTCAGCTAGCTTGTTCGTACTCCGCTGCGGGTCTTGAATCATTCCCAGCTTGGTCTTCGAGTCATCAGTGCAGAGATCGACTGTCCTCACTTAGTATTATAAAGCCCCGCGCATTCCCTTCCCAGGTTTTCACCCTACCATTTCTCCAAACTTCGACTTCATCAACCACTTTATTTCATCCCGCCCCCGCTATTCTCTCAAATGGCTGCTACCGAGCTTTCTATCCTCGTATGCAACGACTACGCGGGAGAAACTACCTTCTCTTCACCATGTTGATACGTCTATGGAAGGTTTTATCAGTGTTTGGATGAGGAGCGGACATATCGCCGCTGAAAGCCGTGGCCAATCCCTGAATGAAACTACATTCCGGATTCGCCCCGAGGATTTTGCAATTGGTGGCATGGCGGCAAACTCCCTCCGCTTCGATATGAATATCAGGACCTCAAATGAAGAAGCTGTCACGCTTGCAGGCCAGGATCACCTGGGTATGACTGTGGGTACGGACACTGAGGACGGTTGCTTCGCACTCTCTGGCTCTTCGAGTTCAATCAAAACGGATAAATCCTTCGGAATCCACACCGGAAATTTCATTGCCAGACAGTATCGTGGGTTCTTACCTAGCCTTGGTAATATATTGCTTACTTACATGTTACTCATCTACATCCACAGCGTTCGTTGGGTATGGGAAATATGGCGCCGAGGGGCACGTTGTTCCAGTTGCTGCTTAGCCCGCTAAACCCAACCTGACGTACAAATTCACCCCGCAAACCACCTTTTATATCACAGTCGGGTCTCACAATGTCGGGGATATTATCGATGTGTCTACGTTAGGATAGGTGGGGATTATTAATTTCCAGCCAGGCCACACCAGTGCCACTATCACTCACAAATCCTATGGGTCTTATTCTGACCCAGAATTCTCATGAAAGGTATAAGGGCAGCCTCAGCTTTTTCTTCAGGCTTATGCATCACATCACATCAGCTCTAAGTTCTTCTTTCTTGAATTGAGTTGATCGATCGGAATTTCTTTTTTTTTTTTGGCGATATAAAATTCGGGACTAGCCTGCCATTGTTTGCAATATAGACAAATTGATAAGAAAGTTCAACTAGTTGGCACTTGGTTAACTCCATAAACGCCCTATTCTCTAGGCCACTTCTCCAGGCCACTGAACAAAGTCAGAGTAACTGTAATAGGCCTAGCATGTTTCGAAAGAGGGTTTGAGAAAGAATCTCTGTATGTAAGCGATGAAACTGATTTCGATCCATCCTGTATGCACGGAGCATGCGGAAGATCTGGTGGACCTTCAAGATGAGATTGAGCATATTCGTCGTTACCATGTTAACTTTATGAGACGCCCCGGGCGGCCCGGGGACAAATTGATGCACATGGGCATATTTGGTATTGCTTTGACTGCAGCTCTTCTCGGAGCTTGAATGATCATCGCAGTTATGGTTCCGACGAATCCATATAGGATCACCTCAAGCGGAATCCTGGTACTGTTATTGATTGCATTCTCCCCTCTTCAGAAGCCCGGGGCACTGAAGCTGGGACATTAGGTCATTTTCAGGTAGAGCCGGTGGACTTTTGATGATCGTTAACATGTATTTGAGGCGACGTGATTATGTCTTGCAAGTCTTGCAAGCGGAAATATATGTATATTACATGTACACATCAAACCCCGGGGGAATCTAGTCACTTCAATATCGAGGTAGCACAGTTCTCCTCTGCTGTTGAAGTTTGATTTTGAGTGAAGAATTTCCTCGACAATTTTCTTAAGTACCGCGATGGTAATATCCGGTATATCCGTCATAATCACCATACTTTCATCGTAGGCGAGTTGACTTAATTATGACATCTCGAAGCTCGGTCTCAAGAAGTGGAATGGTGGTCCAGATTTCTTGCACAATCAATGGAAATGTCCTTGCGTTTATGTCGATCCAATTCATAATTCGAGATCTCGCAAGGATTTCAGACGCGATATGTCAAACTTGTCGGCCGCCATGAACACTCCGAGGTTGTTCCACATAGCTGTATGAGGTTCCGTACCATTACCAGAAGCGCCCTTCCGATTTTGAAAGTGCGAGCCATCTGTGTCTTCGTAGTCTTGAAGGTATAGGAAGAGACATCCCCGTTGAATAGTTGCTAGCTCATCATCTAGTAGATCAACATATGATAGAGAAGCTTCCTTTTAAAAAGCTTAGCCATATGCAGCGATCACACCAAAGACTTGTCGCGTCTACCATGAACCCTCCCTTGACTGCAGCGTAAAAAAATGGTGATTGGGAACAGACTATCGCACGATGTACCTGGAACTTCTGTCCTTCGCATGATATAGTCAGGTCTGAATATCTACCTGAATCCAGAAGGCTTTGCAAGATTGGTTGAAGATTTGGAAATCCCATGATTGATGTAGCTACATGTAGGTCAAGTTTTACCATATATCATTTTACTATATCTGCCATTAAGAAGTCTTAAATTCTATGACGCCAACAGAAAGGTCGTTTGCTCCAAGGTCGGTGTAAATTATATAGTTTTGTACATATAGCTCTCGTTCGTTTGAATTTATTCCGTACAATATCGGAACATGATTTAAAATACAAGAATAACCATATCTAGTTTAGCGGATCATGTGATTAGGGTTGAAAGGGAATCTCTGTTTCCGACGCTGGAGGAATCGTGCGGCATATTAAATGATTCGAGTTGAATGCTATACCGTGTCTTTCTAATGTAAAATGATAGGTATGTATATAGGCCCCGCATATCCTGAGCAATTCATAAGTGAACACCAAATGATAAAGCACTGCATTTGACTGTATTTCTCAAGTAATATGGCCAAGTTAGTACTGCTATAACTGGCGTGCCCAAGGTAACTATCATTTGATTATGATCTACCAAATTTAGACGTTTCAACTTTCACTGTTATCTTAGGACAGCGTTACTCAACTTGTATGAAAAGAAAGTATCTCGTTTGCAATTCAGCGGTGATTCTAATTGAGGGTGAGAATTTTTAGGATCAATTCCTCTTCTTTCCTGTATCTGGTGCAGAATAGCATAGCCTTGCCAAAATGTGGGCTCATGCCAAGATGTCTCGGACTTCTAAGAGGACTCAAGCAAAGATTCTAAATTTGAGACCTACAAAATCAAGGTAAATAAATAAAATCTCATTGCTGCTTCCTTCGTATTCCTTAATCATATCCGATACTAAAGTCATGAAATCTATAACATTGGTTTCCAACGAGTTGCGCAAACTAAAAGACGCAATTTCAGAGAGTTCTGGGATACTAGAAAAGTTAGTTAACGAACTGCCACCCAAGGCCAGCGACAGGAATATCTTTGAAACCAAACGCATCGCGGATACATTGTTCAAATGCCTCCTGTGCCAGGATTCTTACCGTAAAATGGATGAGGAAGAGGTATACAACAAAATCCAACATGCAGTCAGAAATGACAAAACTGCAATTGGCAACGCTCTGGCAGTTCTCTTTCACACCTATGATAGGACATCAGACTCAACTCAGGAGCTCAATGATAGACCTATTTATCTTCTTGGCCGACATGAACAACGGACAAAGCTTTCGATACTAAAAGAGGTCGGGTATTGGGTGGTTCTCGCGTTATGTATTGGATTTGGGCTTTTCTTATTTTTACAACATTTTAATCTCCTGAACTCCTATTGTGACACCGTCTCGAGAGTGGTAAATGAATGTGGTCTCCGATATCTAGAAGAACTGGTAAGTGAGTTATGTTGGACCTGTTAATAATCTGTTTGTGTTTCAAATTACCAGACCAGCGAATGGTTAATGTGCGTTCCTTCGTAACGGCTTCCGCTTGCAATGAAGATAACAACGTAAATGGAAACCCGTGATGGTAGTACATTAGTGGCCTGAGGTATTATAAATGGCTTAGCAGACATGTAATCTTCTCCATAGCAGCATGATCCAACAACCCAATATGACTACAGTTATGCACCAAAATCCTTAATTCATAATATAGCATCAGCTTCAGTACGATCTATACTTTCAGAGACCGCTCTCTTTGCCTACACCTCGATGAGAGTGGTTGTGCGTGTGTCCTCTTCGTTGATACCGGCCCGTCTGCTATGCCAGACTGTCATCGGGCCATCCCCGTTTCAGTATATACCCATTTATATATCTTTTTCAGGCTCAATTTTAAGTAAATATAATATTAATAAATGTGAAAAAAGAGAATTATTCACAGCTGTTTGGTAGTCTTAACCATAAACTATGCCGACTAGGGATCGGACGGGATTCTATAATGACCCGTTCGGCACCTTACGAGAAATCAAAGTTTTTGGGTTCTGGGGGGAGTATGGTCGCAAGGCTGAAACTTAAAGAAATTGACGGAAGGGTACCACAAGGCGTGGAGCCTGCGGCCTAATTTGACTCAACACGGGGAAACTCAACAGGTCCAGACGAAATAAGGATTGACAGATTGAGAGCTCTTTCTTGATCTTTTGGATGGTGGTGCATGGCCGTTCTTAGGCTGCTCAGTGCAGCTGAAATTCCCCAAGACGAGTTATCACACCCAAGCATTGGTGATCTGAACCAAACTGACCTATCCATCGCCCCTTTCTATTGACTGAATATATTGTACATGGTCCAAGCAACTGCGTGCGGAAGGCAAATTCTACGATCTAATACAATTGATCAGAGTTCAATTTGGTAACGATTTCAGGCGCCGAAAATGCATCGCTCTATCGATGATGTTTGACGAAGGTTTGTGGTTGATTCGCTATACTTTTAAGGGAAGACCGTATTCAGCGTATTTCTGGACCCAGTCTGGAGGCGACCACGGTGTCCATAGCGGAAAGAACGCTCTGGAGCTATCTGAATAAGTCTGCCGTTTCAGCTTCGGCGTCTGAGTGCGGGCCTTAGCTAGGCCATTAAAACCCTTTGACAACACATGGTAATTGTGATTTGAATGAGACATTTCGCCACTTAGAGATGTGCCTTTTGGAGTCATGGCTAGTGGACCTGCAGCCCTCCTTTTTTGTTGCTGGGGAGCTATTGAACAGCATCAGGGTATTTACCGTCTTGTTGTGTACTGGCCATATGGGAGGAAATTTTATCAAATGTCCATTTAAACACATTTTCCACGGCACTGGAGAGAAGTTCACATGCCGTGACTTGTCCTAGGCCATGCGGTCCCCGTTGTGTACTTCTGGGAGACTGCCTTGGTGAAAGCATTCTGCCGCGAAAGCTATTCGAGCAGAGAAGCTCAAATTGCATAGGCGTAAGACATGAGAACTCATGAACCGCGGGGCCTTCTTTCTTTAGTCAGCCAGGACATTGGCCACCTCGCTGGCCAATTTCGAAAACAAATACTTTAGACCTGGATGCGATCAGATATGTACAATGATGCCAAGCCCTAATTCAGATCGAGACATTATTTCTCATTGTATTTAAATTGCTTAGTTCATGATCAATGAATCTTTTGGAACAAATTGTGATAGAGGAAAGAACTTGAGGAGTAAAGAGATACAGGATCTGAAAGTAAAAAAAGAATATCTAAATGAATGCTCAAGGTAGGTTCATTATGGCAAAGTATTTCCACTAATTTCGATCAGGATCTTGCGGTACGCAATTTCTCGTTTGTTATTACTAGCCAATACAATACAATCCAGAAACATCTACAGGAGAAGAATCCAAAACTAGTTTGGGGTTCGGAAAAAAGTTCATGTGCATGATTGAGAAGCTCTGCGAAATCATGGCTTCAATCAGAGTTGCATTGGTTAATGTCCTTAGCGACATCAAAAGCCTACATGTGCGTATAAGAGGCCCATTCGGGAAACGCGAGCCCACAGTTGATATCCAAGGTAATTAGGGGCACCGATCAACAACACTGACACCTATATCGTTATCCATCTAACGCTGATACTTCAAAATTTCCGAGCTGTCTGCCACGTGGTCAACCTTTTTCCACAATACGGCCAACAAAGTTGGTCATGCCCCACAGCGTATCCCGAATATAAAGTGATGATCTTTAGGAACGTTGATATAATATGTAAAGAAGCTGGTCAAGATTTAAGTAAATTCAAATCCCTTAACAAAAGCTTTCTTTTCGCTGCAACAGCCTCCTGATCTTACGACACCACGCCTATATCAATTCCCCTAGACCCTTCCTCGTGTGGACCAGATATGCATTTGATTCCCTAATCTTAAATGAGTCTGGCGTAATCAAATTTCTATCAAGAAGGGAAGCCCCGCCTGTTTGCTAAGAATCGTTGCGAATTGTTCGTGAAAGTGAGTGGCCAAAGTTGAATACCCTTGCATGTTGCGCATAAACTTTCACGATTCTTATCGCCAAAGTAGTCTCTGGCATAGAACACTGTGATTTCATCATCCACGGCAATGTCACGTTTTGCTTCCACGGATATTGTTGGGAAATCCTTGGTCATCAGGCAGCTGTTTGGATTGCAGTTATGATTGACAAATCGAGTTAGCCCTAGAAGAATTGAGAGCGCTTTTCTATAGGACGTGCACACCACTGTAACTACTCGTCAGCAAGGTAATTTGGAAGAGTGTTGGTGTGGAAGTATCCAGCATCTTGAAATTCGCCCGTGGCAAGGTGTTATACGAGTAGCGCTTCAAAATAGAAACATACCAAAGTGATTTCACGAACGCTATTTTCACGAGATTTTCCGACGATGAGAGTCCCCACATCTATAGCCATATTGGAAACTGTTGTCTAATTCTAAGGTACCTATTTATAGAAATCATACCACACGGTGCAGATATATAGATGAATTGCCGTGGGATATTTTTTGAGTATGTTTTCTGAGTCGGCCTTCCTCAATGTTACTAAGATCTCGAAAAATCGGAACCTGTCACTCTACAACTAAGAATTCCAATCAGGTCGAAAGTACAAAACCCGAAGTCCAAACCGGGGAGTCATCACCAAGGCAGTTTCCCAGTGAAGTAACCAACAGAGACAACTTGACCGATAACAAGATTTTGTCTCCGGCTCAGTGGGAAATTCCGCTCAAACTGACATTTGGTCAGGCTAGTACTCAAGATCAGGTTCATCAACGTCCTGATAATTGTGAACCTTTCAAAGGTATAGCTGAAGGCCAACTTGAAGACGCCGGATTGGAAATGGCGGACATGGACGGAGAGCTCCAGAGCGTTCGTTCGGTCATCGGCACAATTCTTTCAGAAATGCATCTATTACAGTCTACTATTGAGGATATAGTGGATTGGCAACGTTAGCGTCAAACATTGTCGGTAGGCCAATCCAGCGAAGACGCCTGAGACGGTTAAAAAATTGAAACTCCAATCAATATTAGTAAATTGTATTGTGGCATGACGCTGGTCCAAATCAGGACCAAGGCTGCGTCATTGAATTGAATTCCTGGTGTGTTTAAGCGATATTTCCAACCAACAGCGTGCAATAGGATTGGTCTCCTGGCTGGTTCATGATTGAAGTGGTTATACACAGGCATAACTCTGGTCGAATATAAGAGAAGCTAGAGCCAGCTCCTTGCTCAATTAAGGACCTCTCAATTTTTAGCTGTCATTCCCCCTCCCCCGCGATATTGTAACCTACCATCTCCCGCAGATAGTCTTGTACCTGGCTCCTGCAAAATCCTGGATAGTGTTACTACTCGAAGATTTACTCCCCATTCAGTTTTATCATGATCAATTTAGCATTGCAATATGTAACACATTGGACAGTAGGCGAAAATTAGAAAGCTTTAGCCAGATTCCGGAGCTGGCATGTTAATCCAGTATTGGGTATGGTTTTCGATCCAGACGGACCGACGTAACTGTCACTTTGTTCGAGTCGCAGGTTCATAGGGAGAAGTTCCACGGGTACTCGACTAGGGAACGTGAACCGCTTACATACTAAGTTTGACAGTTTACAAAGGTAGTAAATCTACACATTGACAGGCCAGGATCTTGTCACATAGAAGCGCGATTCTTCGCCGACAGGGGTTCGCGAGAGTGGGTATGCCCATTTTCTCCCAGTCCGGAACGCATTCGCCTGGGATACAAGGTCCAATTCGAGTTGCACTCTAGCTATGTTACTGTCGCAGAAATACGCATCATCTCAAACTCTCTTGCGCACGGATCATTACTTCACACTCGTACTAAAGGAGAGAATCCATAGAGTACTATAGCAGAACTGGGACACTCTGCAAGAAATGTGAACAGCGATTTGTTAAGACAAGGACGAGCTGAAAGAAGTACAAGGGGTGATGATGAGAACCCACCACGGTAGCCGAACCAGCCAATGGCTGCAAAATATGATCAATTAACATATTGTTCAATACATCACAGCCCGTCACTAGTACAACAAACTTCTTTCCGGGACCGAGATGCTTAGCCAAGTCAATGGCTCTTCCCACTGCGTGACTCGAGTCAAGGCCAGGCAAAATTCCTTCGTGCTGTTGTAGAGTTTTGAATCCATGCAAGGCATCCCTGTCAGTATCCGTTAAAACTTCAATGCGGCCGATGGTTTTCCAATGAGCTCCCTCGGGCCCCACAGTGGAAAGGTTCATGTCGGGTGAGATTGAGTGTGAGTGGAGAAGTTGGCCATCGTCGTTCTGAAGTATGAGAGTTCGAATCCCCTGAAGAACACCTAATTCACCGTCTGATAAGGTGGCCGCTTCAGCCGCTTCAACCACAATGAGCCGAATTGCGGTACGTTGCAGAAATGGCCTGAAAATTCCCACCGCTCACTCCCGCTGCCAACAGCATCTGGATGACAACCAGCGGATGTTTGCATCTGGGTTGCGACCGCATCTCCTAAGATCGCCTGGAATGTGCGAGTCAAGGTTGGCAAGGGGCTGGGGCCCACGGTAGTAGACGATTTCGTAGTTTCAAACCGACTATCGGAGCGCTTCTGTAATTGCAGTACGCAATAAATCCATGCTAGGGGGGTACGGGTGGTGAGAAGCCTAGCGCCGAGCATCATCATCTTAAAGACTTCTTGTTCCTGAGCCAGAGCCTCGTCTGCACCCATTACGACCACGCAGCGCAGACCTAGACGTGCACACATAGCTGTGGTGAAATTACCATGTTTAGCAGACGGACAATCCGTAACGATCTCAGTGCGGCCCATTCGACGCGCTATCAAAGGCTGACTGAGCATATTGCGGGTCTTGCGGCTACCGTAGTCATTTAGATCTTCTCGCTTGAGCCAAATTGTAGCACCACCTGCTAGAGCTGTGAGTTTGCTCGCCATGTGCAACGGCGTGGGCTGTAATCCCTGTAACGTTGCACACTAGTCCCAGAAAGAGGCGTTTGAGACGGTGGCCCCGACGAATGAGGCCAGGTTGTGCAGCAAGCCTATAAGCGATTCAGGAACGAACATCCCCCCAAAAGAGCCATAGCCGCCGAATGAGATCTCTGGAGGTCTCAGTGTGCCATACCTCTGCACAACTGGGACATGCAGTGTGCCTTGTTTTAGAAATGGCGTGGCTGGCAACCTTATAAGAGGCTGTTGGCACGAGAAAAGGCCGCAGTGGGTAGCCGGAGAGAGGGCAATTGTGGTATCTGCGCGTGACTTGCGCATAGTGATGCATGTGCTGTTTGTACCTGGAGCAAAGAGGCGTTATATAGTAGGATCTTCAACGGCAATTTCGGATGCGGTTAAATAAGGACGAGGTCGAGGTGGAAACTGATAATAACAGGATCATGCAACACCCGCGGGCCACCCACCCACCACGTGGCCATATCATGCAACAAACAGCTCTCCTCCAGCAATTTTAATGTGCTGAACTCAAGGAAGATGACGAACCGACAGGCCTCACGGCCATGAGCCTAGGTGGGGGGACGATGGGTAGTATCCAATGACGATCAACTGGCCAGTACGAACGACATCATCATTTGAAACAGAGGCAAAGGAGGATGCAGAGATGAGGATGGGAGAGTGAGAGAGTGAGGCTGAGAGATAGAGGGTGCACTTCACACATTCATTGATAATTCCTTATTTACTGGGATTTGAATGGGTTTACGGGCAGGATTCATGGGATCGGGCTGATTTCCGCACTCTTTCCAAATCAGCCTCTGTTTCCTCTTTGGGGCATCATGTGATTCCAGCTCTGGCGTTTGGCTACGAGTTCTTGTTTCACTTGTATGAAGAGCCTGCATAGTCATATGCAACTAGTTATACTGCACCAGGCTAATTGAACTTTGATTGATTGATTAATTGATAACAGGTAGGCAATTCGTGAAAACGAAAGATATGACAGGGATCTAGAATTTTAAATGAACAATAAAAGAGCAAGTACTGTAAGATCTCACCAGGATAATTAACAGAATTTCAAACCCTAGTCACGTGGTACGCTAACCCATATGCGGATAGCGCGTAAATAAGACGTTTTGTACCTAACCAGGTAATAAATACCAGACGTTCAAGATACACATCCTGGAAGGATACAGGGGGTTTATCACTGGGAACTAGATCTCGGGACTAGCTGGAGGTTCAAGGCAAACTCCTCTCCAAACATAGAGGACGACTCGACCATTGAGGAAATCCTTTCCATTTCTCCAAAAATACTCGACAATCTGCGAAAATTCAAGAAGCTTCTACGAAGGGCTGTCAGGCCTTCGAATAGCACCTCTGGGAAGACTGTCATCATAGCGGCGAATTTCCACCTCGATATAACCGGGAGGCGGGAATTCTTCAAGCCTTTCTTGCAAAATGTCCGGCTTTCTGCTATAAGACAAAACGGTTCGGAGTGTTTTGGGGAGGCTCGTGTAGTCAGGGCCGAAAAAAGAGAAAGTTGGCTCTCTTTGAAACGACAAGACTCCCAGACGAATCATTGAGGGAGGAAATATGACATCAGACAGATCGGACTCGTGGGCCGTGAAATTTTCCAGAGAGCTGAAAGCCCCAAGTGATGGAATTCCGAGAACTTCACTCTCAGAAGCAATGCAACTATCTGCAATGTTTAAAGTGAGCTCCCGAAGATTCCGTCTGGATGGATAAAGAGCTTCGACGATTGCCGCCAACTTTGACTTGCGCCTTAAGGGTAAGTGGTGCCATAAATCAACACCCTGGAGTTTGACAGTCACTAGGTTTTTGAATCGCTTCAAAAGCCTGACTATACTCTCGTGGTTTAATTGACATTTGCCAATCTCCACATATTGCAGTTCGTCTGAGCGCCATTCGGTGCCCAATTGGCCACTAAAACCTCGAACAAGAGTAAACTGATTGAGACTGAAGATTGTTTGAAACGCCTTCTGCACATTTAGATCCTCTCCGAAGTCACAAAAACCACAATCTCCGAGGAGTTTAGCCGTGCTTGAATGAATGGGAATTGATAAAGAGCGAAGGTTTGTAGCCCGAGACAAAATAGGACGGAGGAGCTTTGCAAGCGTTTCCACATCCTCTAGCTGTCCTAATTCGATATCAATATGGTCAATTCCCCACCCAGGGGAAGGATCCTCTAAAGCCTTTGCAAGTTTGGCTAATCGTCCCCACAGACCTCGTTGGCTGTATAGGTCGGAGATAAAAACTTTGGGTATAAGCGACTGCACCCGATTTTGGAATGTAGTCGATACGGCACAAAGATTTATAAGTGAGTCACGATCTAGATAACGGCAAATTGTGTATAATAGCTCGAGTGGCAAAAGTTGAATTATATCCTTGGCAGATGAAGACTGTTGAATATAATATATCAGCCACGTCGGAAAAAGGTGGTATTGTGGCTACTTACAGGGCTTCTCTGTCTTTTTCTTTCTTCACGCCCTCCTTGATCCTCATTTCGGCGTTTTTGGCGTTTTTGGCGTCGGGTTTGCATTATATGGTATTGGGGGGCGGGGTGGCGAAGATTTGGAGAGGTAGGCAAATGATATATAAGTACTAATGTCAAAAATGCACTAACTAAAGGGGGGTGGCTAAGTCAGCCTAATCCCTGCCGTCAGCTACAGTAAGTTCAGCCCCAATTAAATTTTTTAGTTGGTCCTGTTTTTCTGTCTTTTTTGGTGGTTTATAGGGACACCACGCCTCCTAGGAGTGATTGACTCTATCGTAACTGCGGGATCTTTGGGATCTTTGGAGCAAACATCCTTGCTTGCTATGATATTGTGATATTGTATTTTAGAAGTATTGCACCATTGATGTTAGTTCCATCCATTTAGGATCTTTACTCTGATCAGGGCAAGCTGAAGGAGGCAGAAGCGATATACCAGCGAGCACTGGCAGGCAAGGAGAAGGCCCTCGGTCTAGATCATAAGTCCACTCTGAATACAATTAACAACCTTGGCCTTCTCTACTCCGATCAAGGGAAGCTGAAAGAGGCAGAAGCGATGCACCGGCGAGCTCCGACAATGGAGACGTTGAATCCATTAAGCATTGTAGTTGTAAAATAGTGCCTAGTCATCCTCCGTAGTATCTTTTGCAATGATTCCTTGTAACGTGCTAGGGTAGATCTGACTTGCCGAACAATTGCATGTATTCATGCTACCATGCTCACTACCCTATGTCGCCGTCGTCTTTTTAAGTTTAGTTAGTCTGTAGCTATTTTGGTATCATATGTATATTCGTTTCCAGACATCTAGCTTTCGGGCGAGCTTTCGGTAGGTCAGGATGTTTATGTCAGAGTTGCAATGACGTGATGGTGAGTGTGGTATTGTGACTCAGAGCTGTAATAGTAAATTGGAACTTACAATACTTCGCCTTTTCCTCGTTTTGTATTATACTATTCGGCCTTGTGACGGATTGTTCAATACGAGGTTAACCAAATACGGCTTAGCAGCTCATGTGACTAGGGTTTGAAAAAGCTACTCTGCGTTGTCCGACATGGAAGGCGAAAGCGGTCGCTACTGTAGTCCTAGGGTAAACTTCAGACCAGTTTCGGGAAGTACTGTAGTCGCCGGAGCGCGTCTGTAAAACCAGGGTGACTGTAGAGCACCGGACATTTCCGGTACCTGGTGACCGACACACAACAAGACGGAGCTGTACCGGAAGGCGATATAAAATTGTTGTTGTGTACCGAGCGGGAAGGAATGGCGGACCCACATGCGGGTGCTCCCGAGCCTCCTCGCACAACCACGCGAGGAACGGCAGTGACTGACACGCCGGAAACCCTTGATTCGACTACCGCGCCCCGGACCAGAAGACAGGCTCGCCTCAGCGATGGCTACTCTAACGCAGCTCGCTCAATTACCGAGATTACAAGCTCCGTAGACAGCAGCGGACGCGTCACGACTCGGGACATCTGGCGAATGATTGATGGCTTGAAAGAAACGATCGCCTACCAAACCGAGCTCATACAATCCACCAAAGACGAACTGCTTGAAGTAAAGCACGACCAGAATGTCCTCCAAACGCAGAACGAGAAACTCCATGAGGAAGTTCGAGGCCTAAGGGCGCAAATCGATGCGCTCCCGTCCACACCCGTGGCCAAATCGTGGGCCGCGGTGGCAGCAAGCCACCCGCCTCTTCAACCAAACCACCAACGCACAGACAAAGACCGGAACTGCGTCCGAATTAGCACCCAGCGGTCCTTTGTCGACCCGAGAGACAACGATATGAGCGATCAAAACACCTTTGGGCGATATCTTCCAACGGAGTCCGCAAACACCCAGATCTGTACGGCGCTGTCGAACGCACCGTCCACACAAGACGCCCAAGTAGTCGGGGTTGGCACCACCAAAACTGGATATATCATCCGATTTAAAGACACAGAGTCGGCGGAAGCGGCCCGCAACAGCACAGAATGGCTGAATGAGCTAGAAAACAACACGAAACTGGTCAAGGCGCGGTTCGGCGTCGTAGTACACCGGACCCCGACTGAAGACTATGACCTCGAAAATGCAAACCCACAGGCGATCGAGAAAATCATGAAAGACAATAACCTACACGAACTAGGACCCCGAATCGAAGAGGTGGCTTGGCTTAAGAAGAGAGACAAGGTGCTAGGGAAGTTCGCATCCCTCGGCATCTGGTTCGACACCGCGGAAGGAGCCAACCTTTTGCTAGACAAGGGCTTCCTCATTGGCCGGAGATTCATTGACAGTGTGGAACGCTGCGAACTAAAAAGAAAGAGATGTTTCCGATGCCAACGATTCGGGCACTTCGCATGGTCATGCAAGGAAACACCCCGATGCGGGCATTGCGCTGGCCAACACCAGCGGGAACGGTGCCCCCCAGGTGTGAGAGCCCGATGCCTCGACTGCGGTGGTGAACACCCAACCAGTGACCGCCAGTGCCTAACACCGGCAACCTCTATTACCCAATGTTAGAGACAAACCTACGCATACTCCAGTTAAACATCATGAAATCGGGACCTAGGATGGAAGCCCTCATCAATGACCACCGCAGCCAGGATCTGGATATACTTCTGATCCAAGAACCATCTATCACCGCCTATCAAACGCACGTCAATCATAGCGCCTGGCGGCTGTACCGACCGACTACCAAGACTGACGCAGGTCGGTGTCGCAGTCTAATCTACGTCAACCGAAAAGTCTCAACCTCTTCCCACCGACAGATCGCCTGCGACCACCCGGACGTCACAGCAATCAAGATCTGGACAGCCGACTCTCAATTCCTTATCTTTTCGATTTACCTCTCCTGCGTCCCGCTATTCACGCCGAACGAAACGTCGGCAGAACTAGCACTCACAGCAATCCAGAACACACTTATAACCAATACCCAAGACGATCAAAGGTCAACAAGCGTCATCTTGTCAGGTGATTTCAACCGCCATCATCCGATGTGGGGCGGAAACCATATCCAACCGCGATTCATTGAAGACGCAAGCGAATTGGTCAACTTCTTTCAAACGCATGGTCTACATAGCTGTCTTTCACGTGGAACAGCGACTTTCTGGCCCTTTAATGACCCAGGGAAGAGCACCACTATCGACCAGACGGCAACGAACCGCCCGGACTTGCTCGTCAAATGCCATCTCTACCACGAAAACTATGGGTCAGACCACCGCGCAACGTACTCTGAATGGGACCTAAGAACTCAGCGCCAACCCGCCGCTAAGGCAAAGAAAGCCTATGACCGTGCGGACTGGTGTAAGATCGCCGAAGACGTACGTCGACAATTGGGCCCATGGAAGGAGGTGAAAACGAGACCGGCGCTAGATGAGGCAGTCGACAAGCTCACAGAGGCGACGGCCAGGGCGGTGGATAGACACACTCCCGACCTACGACCAACACCATACTCCAAACGCTGGTTCACCCCAGCCCTCAAAATACAGCAGACCGAGGTCAATCAACTACGCCGGACGTGGCAAGAAAGCTGTGCGGAACTCGGGCGACATGACGCCCGCTCCATAACGCTCTTTCAGGAGATGCAGCACAAACGACGATTATGGACCCGGACTATCGAGAAGGTGAAGGCGTCACATTGGAAACAGTTCCTGGACGAAGCCGGGGAAGGGAAGCTCTGGAAAGCAGCCACCTACATGAAACCACGAGAAGCCTGGGGATGTCTGCCGGCATTGCAGGTCGGCACCAACGAGCTTATAGAAAACGAGGACAAAGCGCAGGCCTTCCTAGACGCTTTCTTCCCGCAGATGGACGAACCTCACGAGGACTTGCTCGCCCAAGCACCTCTAGCACTCCCGTGGCAACCTATCATTGAGCTTGAGATTCAACGATCTCTCAAAGCCGCAAAAGGATCTACCGCACCTGGCGAAGACGGCCTGCCGACGCTGGTATGGAAAGAGCTGTGGAGCCACCTCAAGGTCTATATCACGGGGATCTTCACCGCGTCAGTCAATCTAGGATACCACCCGAAGCGATGGCGAAGCGCGAAGATCGTGGTGCTACGGAAACCCAAGAAACCTGACTATTCAGTACCTGGGGCCTATCGCCCGATCTCGCTCCTCAACACTTTGGGCAAACTCCTTGAAGCGGTGATGGCGCGACGACTGTCGTACCTCGCGGAAAAACTCGGCCTGCTACCGGACACCCAGTTCGGAGGACGACCAGGCAGAACGACTGAACAGGCCCTGTTGGTCCTCTCCAATGCGATTGACCGAGCGTGGTATAAACACAAAGTGATTTCGCTGGTGGCGTTCGACCTTAAAGGTGCCTTTAACGGAGTCAACAAAGTGAGCCTAGACGCTTGCCTCCGGGCAAGGGGAATCCCAACCATGGCGAGAAAATGGATTGCGAGCTTTATGAGCGACCGCCACGCCAGCATAGGCTTTGATGACTTCCGCACCAAGGCCACACCACTGGCGAACGCGGGACTTGCACAGGGCTCGCCTCTCTCCCCTATTCTGTTCGCATTCTTCAACTCCGACCTGGTCGACCAACCTGTCAACTCTCACGGCGGTGCATCCGCCTTTATCGATGACTACTTTCGCTGGCGTGTGGGACACACAGCCGAAGAGAACCTAGCCAAGATTCAATCGGAAGATATTGCCCGCATTGAGGCATGGGCCCGTCGAACTGGGTCTTGCTTCGCAGCCGAGAAAACTGAACTGATTCATATCACCAGAAAAAGACGCGAACAGCTTCAGGGTCACGTAGTCATGAACGGGAAGACAATCGAACCGTCGCCCACGGCCAAGCTTCTAGGGGTGGTGTTCGACCAGGAGCTTCGCTGGAAACAACACGTCCAGCAAGCGATCAAACGCGCAACCAAGGTCAGTATTGCTCTGGGCGGGCTGCGGCATCTACGCCCAGAACAGATGCGACAGCTGTACCAAGCCTGCGTAACGCCGGTCATGGACTACGCGTCAACGGTCTGGCACGACCCTTTGCGAGACAAGTCTCACCTACGACACTTAAACACAG